TGTAGTAGCTGAGTGAAGGACTGGTAAGATTCCATGGATAGAGACAAAGGCCTTTTTTTCTTTTTCAGGCATAGTTGTAAATAAAATGTGTTTTACTTGTAGGCTGGAAAAGGAATGCTGCGGTCAATGATCGGAGATTGGAATGCCATTGCAGATATTATTCCTGTTGACTACTCAGCCAATATGTTGCTTGCCATTGCTTGGCACAGAGTTGCAAAAAGGTAGTTGAATGTCTTATTTTTGCTGCATAGGTACAAAGGAAGTGTTGGTAGCTCTATTTCTATGTTTCCAATACATGTAGATAAGCATTCATGTTCATACTGTAATCATCATCATCATAATCATCATCTTTTATTTGCCTTATTTTCATTTTACAAAATTTATTTACAGCGTTAATAGCTAGAAGGCAAGGAGACCCAGGAAGCCACCAGGCTTATGGGAGAGCCACCTCACTTGTAATAATAAATCAAGTAAAGAAAAAGTGCTGCAAATGTGCAGCTGGCCAATTCAGTGATTATATAAGTAAAAACTCTTGCATTTTCATCTTAAAGCTAAGAAGCTTTGATGAACGAGTGACTGAAACAGGAAGAGAGTTCCAAATTAATGAAAGTAATGAAGGTTTGACAGGATAGAGGTATAGATGACTGAAATTTTTGAAGAGTCATGAGGGCCTGATCAACAGAGCTGATTAACCTATTTCCATTAAAGCGCTGGCCCCACATTTGATACAAAAAATTGAGTCAAGCAAATGAAGGGGTGATTTTCAAAGAAATGCAAAGAGTGAAGTCTCATCTTACTTTTGAGCTACTTTTTTTAGATTACCATCTAAAAGGTCATGAGAAACAGAAACTAGAAAAATAAAAAAAGAGGTCATCCAAGTGATGAGACTATGATAGGAAACTTAAAATGCCTTTTATTTTCTAATGAAGGTTACTCTGGCTTTATTTAGTTAGAAGGGATAGTCCAGTTTTCCTGGCTCAGGTCTAAAAATACTGTACAAGCAACTTTGATTTAGTGACATGTGCAGGATGAAGTACCATAAACTGCCTTAAATGCAATTGTTACTTGCACGGAATTGTAATCAGTCTTGTTTCCTTGTAGTCATTCAAGTATTCCGGTCTACCATCTAACCACAGGCACGTTGAATGGATGCACTTGGGGCAATTTGTGTAAGTTTATTTGAATCTGTCAATTGAATCATTCTGTATATAGCTTGAAATGTTGTGAAGTAATTTTCTGTTAATCTTGTTTTTTCCTGTCTTGAATTAAATTACTTATTTTTATGGCTTTGCTTTTCATGACCTGCTGTCTTCTTCTGGCCATTATGTACTTATAATAATTATACATTATTTAAATTATATTTACTGACAGGTACCATGGTTAGCAAGCATTTCCAGAATTATCCATTTGAAGGAGTATTCAGGAGACCGAACTTTGCTTTTGAGCAAAGAAGGTATCAAGTTGAAATTTATCATTTAGAAAAAAGCCATTGATTTACTGTATAATTATTATTGCAATCAATATTGTCTAGCATGGTTTGTCAGTCATTGTAGTCTTGTTTGGACAGATGAGTGGTTGTATGACGTTAATGGAAGGACTTTGACAGACTGAAAGATTAATTAGTCAATGAAAAGATCATCAGAATGATGCAATACATTCATTAATTGAAATTTGGGAGATTGACAGCCTGATTGATTGACTGACTAACTTACTGATTGATGGATTGATTTTTTTGTTAATTAATTGATTAATTTGTTCATTCATGTTATTTTACAGACTGATCCACTACTACTGGTGCTATATTGGTCACAAAATCCCTGCCTTCATTGCTGACATGGGATCCTTTTGTTCTGGGCAAAGACCAAGGTGAGTGAGTTGGAGTGTTTTGCCCAAGTTTTTTACATGTATTTGGGCTCATCAAAGACAAAGGTGCTGTAATCAAAACTACCTTTGAAGTAATGTTTCATCAGTTTTGTGCATGAATCTTTTTCTAAGCCAGAAATTAACAATTTTTGAAGGTACAGAGTATAAGAAAGATGAATTTTGCTCGACAAGATGGTTTCAATGGCTCTTCAGTTAAAAAAAATTAAAAAATAAATAAAATAAAAAAAACTACAATAATGTGATCTGCTTGTTCAGAGAATGTTATGATATGTTTTGATCTTAACAGAATGAATAAGTTATATGGCAAGCTGGACAGGGCAACCAAGAGCTTGATCTTCTTCACTTCCAGAGGCTGGGAGGTAGAATTGGACTTTATGATTGTATTTACATTTTACAACATGTTCCTTAAATCTATGTTTGGATTGATTATGACAATCGATGTAATGTGGACACACGAACGTATTCTCATTGAGATGGGTGAGTTTGGGAGCTGGTGCCTAGAGGGATGGTGAAGGCAGGCAGCCGTCCTGCATGAGAAGAACGTATTCATGGTACCCTACGAGTGATGGTCAAAGATAAAAATACTTTTACAGTGAATTAGGCCGTAAAAAAACAAAACCTAACACTTCCTAGAGTGATTATTAAGAGAAAAACTACTCAGTAAGTTGCAGAGGTTGTGACCTCTGTCGGATCGCCCTGAGTTGAGTTTACTGAGTCTCCCGCCAAAAGGACATTTAAACTAGTAAAATGCTGGTCTGTCGACCGTGAATGTACACTAAGTGTAAGCAACTGTAGCAGTACAAAGGAGCTTGTTAAATTATAACTTATGTTTTTTACTTGTAGTTTTCAATGGACAACTATCATGGACTGATCCAGGATATGAGCCCTCAAGACAGAGAGGTTAGTAAACTTGTTCCTTGTGCAATTTGGTTCGTGTTATCCAAAATTTTGGCTGTAAGGCTTATGAAGTTCAAATTTAAAGAACTGAAATAGCCATGTAACATTGTATGGTTAAAGGAAACGACAAATTATTTACTGTTTTCAGGCACTTTGTGGGACATAAACTGTTATGTAAACTAAAGCCGTAAGGTTTTATACTTTAAAACAGTTATCTCTTTATACAGTATCCATAAATTTTCAAATTTAAAAGTGAACAGGTGGTAAAAAATGTCAACCAGGGAATATTGTTTGATTTATCACAGAATTCTCATTTTCAAAATCATGAGGAGTGTATGGCAGACAGTGCAGAGAAGTGATATTTAGATCCTGGGAGAAAAAAGGGTTTAAAAGACCAGGCAGACTGGATATTTTCTATTGCTTATTGTGCTCTGAATGTTGGCGAGTTTTACTTATTGCCCTTTTATATTACGCATTTTTGTAAGATGCAACTTTTGTGTAGCTTATTTTCACATTTTCCTTGATCTATCTGTGTTCTCAGACCTTCAACTTTGACGTGCAGAAGCTGGATTGGAACAACTATTTTTTGCACTTCATTCTCGGCCTCAAGAAATTTGTTCTCAAAGAAGATATGGCCAATCTTCCAGTTGCGCAAAGCCGCATTCGCAGGCAAGACTCTTAACATGCTATCAGTTTTTTTGTACTCTTATAATAGTATATAAAAACGTATTTCACTTTGAATTTATTAGAGTAAGTCGCTGTTGGTTTATTTAGGTGAGGGTAAAGAGATTTTAAATGCGCAAAATACAGGGTAAAATGAATTTTTAGAGTGATACCAATTTTTGTGAAATTTTAATGAATGCACATGCAGAAAACAAGACGCGCTGAGTCTTTTACTACCCTCTGCTTAACACTTGGACTCCTAAGAATGACTAACATCTAATTTCTCCTTACAATATCACCCCTGAGTCAAACATGAAGGTCACGAGAATAATGGAAATGATCACCAACTCAGGAAGCTCATAAATGTTAAACCAAATCTTCTTGTCAGAACCTTAGGAAATGTATGGAGAAACAGTAAGGAGAATATGCATATTGATGATTGGATATAAAGAGAAGAGATACCGTAAATGTCTTGGTGTAGTACTGGGTTTGAGGTTTTCTCGTTCCTCGACCAGCTACTCGGTGGAGACCACGTTTGTCGTTGATTTTTCAGGAGAAATAGAATAGTTCGTTCTAGCATCTTTCGTTGCTACTTGTGTCGTATTTAGGATGGTTGTTGGTGGCTTGCTTTTGTGAAAGGAATGAAAGCTTTCTTGTTGTTCTGAATCATACTTTTGAAAATGTTCCTCGACCCCCTTTCTCTTTCATATAAATTCAGAGATCTTTTTACTTTAGCCTAGATTGACCTTAAGCTTTCCCTTGGTTCATTTCCAGATTGCGGAACATCCGTTGGTCCATGTACTTCTGTTTGTTCCTGTTTTCGTCATGGCTCATTATCAAGAGGTTTCCGGCCGCACAAACCGCTTGGGCCCAGTGCTTATCCGGTGTTCACAAGCTGGCGATGGCTCTGGAACCGTTCAAGCTCTCTAACTGAATGTCCCCACGTGTAGCTTGAAGTAATGTAAAGCACTTGAAATTCAAGCAGGATAATTGTTGTGCCTTTCCATGAATGTTTCATGATATAGGGCTTTGTAGGCCATATATCGCACAACGTAATGTACGTTTCCCCGAGACAAAAAAATTGTAGTGTTTAGGTAACTTCTGAAATTTAAAATCTAAAATTGACTTGTACTTATTTAAGATTTCGTGGTAGATAGATTCGTTAAGTTGCTGATTGTTATCACGGGGCTAAACGTCCTTTGCTAGGTACGACTCTTGTAAAATTGATTCTACAATAGATCTTAGAAATGGTATGTTAAGACTGAGGATAATTTTGTGTAGTGGGACTGCATTGGGATCGAATGATTCTGGTACACATGTCATGAATTCCTCTTGACTCTGACGGGGCTTTTTCAGGAAGATAATAGTGATTTGAATTGTAATTGTATTGTAGTTGTAGGTATTTAACACGTATAATTAACATTACGAAAATCGACGTATTTTTGTGATTACTGAAATAAGATATATGAATTATTTTTGCCATAAAATGTAACGAGATCGATAATTCTCACAACACGTGGCCCGTACGTAGTTAAGTTTTGCCTTATGTTCAACTCTTGTTCTAGAACAAACAGGTTTATTTCTGTAAAGGAGGTTTTCAAGTCTCAACAACTGTATCACATATTGCCTAATCAGTAGGCATTTAAAGTCGATTTAAAGGTCATCGACTCTCCGAGGGTTTTCAAATTACTGTTAAGAGAACAAACACAATTGAAAACTGACCGCGTAATGCTGGTTACGTGGTAACCAATGCTTAGAAAGAAATAGTTGTCTCTTCGATTTAAAAAATAGAGTGTGAACTTAAAAGAGTAAATAAATAAGTGTCACTTAGAACAAATAGTTACGTTATCATATTCCAGGCGTGTGTCACGGAAAGACTCGAGCCATAATTGAAAATTGCCAATTACCTTCGGAAAAAAAAGGCTCTTATTACCAACAATCTTTGAAAAAAAGAAGTTCTTATTACCAATTACCTTTAAAAGAAAAAAGCTCTTATTAAATAACAAAAAAACTACAATTTCCTCGATTGTGATTGGTTTGATGCCATTAATTCACTTGCCAATTTGATATCGGACAGTTCAATAAGCCAATTACATTTTAAGTTATAATTTTAGCCAAAAAATCACATTTTTTTCGTATGATTACAGACCGAATTGGACTCCACTCAGTCCTATTACCATTACCTATTGGATGGAAAACATAAAAAAACGTGCGAAAGGCCACATTCATTACTTTAAAACAGAATGACGGCTATTAACTAAGACTGTTATCTACATCCAGTGCTACATGCGTCAGTATTTCGAAAAATAGGTAACTGTTCTTTCTATCTAGTCTGTCACACTTACGTCACTGTTCGACGTTAATGGTTATGATTGAGCACTCATTTCTTCATTGTTTATCCCTTGTAGTTAAATCGATAAAAAGACAATAACATTTTTGCCTCAGCTGTTTCACTAATAAAAAACCAATTGCAGGTAAGAACTGGACATTCTCTTCATCTTTGTCTTCCTTTTCGGAAACATCACTTTTCATGTCGGCTTGCAAAGGCTCATCGCTTTGTGGCTCTGCTTTCTCATCGTCCTTTTCCGGGCCATTATAACCTTCATTCTCCGCACTAAATGTCTGTGTAACGAAAACAAAGCAAGGCAACGGGTGAGAAGCTGAAGAGAAAAATCAGAAAAAATCACCAATACATTTACATTTTACCTCTTTCTGCATTTTCTCTATGTAATATACGTCTTTTCATCTACCTTATGTAAAGATTTCCTTCGTTTCCCACAATAAAGCATCGAGGAAATATCTCTCATAATCCATGGAAAGCGGCCAAAAAAATATCGTGAGAGTAGATAAAAATTCAATACAAACCCGTGATGAGAAAGGCCAAGATGGAGCGACCAAGGTGCTCAGAGAAAGTGAAGTTTAAATCGGATTTCTAGAGGGAAAGTTAACAATGAGGCTTAATTGTTAAGGCTGCACAAACAATAATAAAGGTCACTACAACTGGACAACGGTGAAAGTAAAAACCCACCGCTAAGCCATGACTTTTTGCTCGTGTTCCATCCGATAAACCAGATAGCAAGTACATATCTTTGGAATCGATGCTGTACATACGGGGCTGTGCAAAAGGATCGTTGTCATTGTGCAGAATTGACGCCTTTGTCGCCTTCCAACAATTTTTCAATCTTCTGTTTTGAAGCTTTGTGAGGAAATACAAAGAAATTAGTTTCGGCACGAAATGCACTTCAACTGAAATTACATAGAGTCCACTAATATAGAACTGTAAGTCCTTTTTGATTGTAACTCCTAGGCTGGGGAGACTGAAGTTTTCCCAAAGAACAGTGTTCAGAATCGGTCAGAAGTGATTGAATAACAGCTGTGTGTTCTAATCATACTAACTATTGCGACCCTTGATTAAATCTGAATGGAGCAATTTTCAACTGAGTGACAATAGAAATTCGTGATGGCACTGGTTGGATTCTATATCCATTTTTTGATTTGTTTTTATGTTCGTGCCGCCTTCTCGATCAATGAAACTAACGTGACTTGCTTCTCGCGTTTATTCGCGCTTATAGCTGGTATTGTGACCTCTCTCCAGTTTTAGTGTTCATTGACCCCTTCTGAAAGTGCTTCTTCTCTTTGATTGACGATTATAATTACGATCTTCCCCTCATTGATATGGGAAGCACCAAATCTTACTTAAAGCTTCTATTATTACCCTGTTTACTAGAGAGAAACCTTTTATAGGACTAGTCGTTACTCACGATTAAACACAGCAGCAAAGCAAGCAAAACCAGAATTATAATTCCAAGTGTGATCACAACCGCAATCCACGCCTTTACAAAGGATGTCGCCTCAGGTTGCTCACTCGGACAAGTTGTCGTTAGTGTAGGACCAGCGACCTACCTTACACTTTCAACGGATACCGTGAAATTTGAGCCTTCTTCATCTTTCTCTATTACCTCCTTCAAAGTGTCGGCATTAACATCATTCGTGGTTGTAAGGAAAACTGTGAAGTCGAAAATTGTACTCCCCATATGGAAGTTTTTCACCTCAAGATCAAGTAAATTCGGTTCGTATTTCTTTTCGAGAATTTCTTTTCAATGGGTTTCAGACCTGCTCTTAATGTGTTTGTACTTAAGGGAATTGCTATTTGCATATTCGTTGTCCCTAGGCTCCTCCATTTTGCCTCTTCCATCGAATTTCTTAGTGCCTTCTATTGCAGTCATAGTACAAATGAAAGAAACAAATTTTATTAGTAACGGCTGAACGTACGGGTAATTTCGAGAACATTTCACGAAAAGTGTCAGATAACCAATGATAGACTGCTACTGACATGATTACCCCTACGCAATGATGTGAAGAAGTCATGTTTAGGAGTGACCCTAAAGTTCCGTGACGTATAAAGGGGTGTTAGTATAAACTACAACAGTGGATAGCGTTGAAGACCCACTATGATTAAACCACAGATCTTACGTATAGATGTAATACAACAAATCTGAAATATACATGTTACACCACTGATCTGAAGAATGGATGTTCTACCACAGATCTGAAGTGCGGGTGTTATACCACAGATTTGAAGAGTGGATATTATCCCACAGATCTGAAATATAAATATTATACTACAGATCTAAAGTATTGATGTTATACCACAGATATTAAACATAAATGTTATACCACATATTTGAAGCATGGATGTTATACTACACATCTAAAGTGTAGATGTTCTACCACAGATCTGAAGTATAGATGTTATACCACAGATCTGAAGTCTAGATGTCATATCACAGATCTGAAGGATAGATGTTATATCACAGATCTGAAATATAGATGTTATACCACAGATCTGGAGTTTAGATGTTATACCACAAATCCGAAGTATAGATCTTATACTACAGATCTGAAGTATAGATGTTATACCACAGATCTGAAGGATAGACGTTATACCCCAGATCTGAAGTATAGACGTTATACTACAGATCCGAAGTATAGATGTTAAATTACAGATCTGAACCGTGGATGTTATACTACAGATCTGAAATATGGATGGTATACCACAGATCTAGAGCGTGGATGTTCTACGAAAAAATCTGGCCCCAGATGTTCGAAGGGTAGATAACGCTATCCACCGAATAAATCTCTATCCGGTGGATTGCACAGGACGTTTTGCTAACATTTATCTGTTGGGTTGCAGTTCATCTGTTGGGTAGAGTTGCCAGGTCTTTGAACAAATAGGCCTTGAATGTAGATGTTATACCTCAGAACTGAACTGTTAATGTTATACATCAGATCTATAGTATGAATATCGTGCTGCAAACATGAGATGCGAATGGTTTTCTACAAATGAAGTATGGATGGTCTGCTTATTCACTATCTTACCTTTTGACGATGTAGTGGATGATTGCGACGTTACTGTTGGTGTGGGACCAGCGACCTGCCTTACACTTTCAACGGAAATAGTGAAATTTGAGTCCCCTTCATCTTTCTCTATTGCCTCCTTCAGGCTATCGGCATTAACATCCGTCGTAGATGTAAGGAAAACTGTGAAGTCGAAAATTATACTCCCCTTATGGAAGTTTTCCACCTCAAGATCAAGTAAATTCTGTCCGTATTTCTTTTCGAGAATTCCTCCTAAATGGGTTTCAAGCCTGCTCTTAAGGTCTTTGTACTTATCGGAACTGTTATCTGCATATTCGTTGTCCCAGGGCTCCATCACTTTGCCTCTTCCATCGAATTTCTTAGCGCCTTCTATTGTAGTCATAGTACAAATGAAAGAAACAAATTTGATTAGTAATGGCTGTTCTTGCGGGTTATTTTAAGCACGTTTCACGTAAAGAGTCAGATGACCAATGGTACATGATTACCCCATAGCAATCATGTGCAGAGGTCATGTGTCAAATGGTCAGGAGTGACCCTCAAGTCCCGTGACATAATGACGGATGTTAGTATAAACTAAAGCAGCAAATAGCGCTATGATTATACCACAGATTTAAAGTGTAGATGTCATACAACAGATCTGAAGTGTAGATGTTGTACCACAGAACTGAACTATGTATGTTATACAGTAGATCTATAGCATGAATATCGTGCTGTAAACATGAGGTGTGGATAGTTTTCAACAGATCAAAGTATGGATGGTCTACTTATTCACTGTTACCTTTTGACGATGTGGTAGGTGGTTGCGACGTCGGTGACGTAGACACTGTGCTTGTAACTGCTTTTGTTGTCGTCGATACAGTTTGTTTTGTCGAACCTGTCGATACTTTCGACGAGGAAGGTAATGTTACAGGTAAAGATTGTGTTGACTGGATTCGTGATACTGGTGGTGACGATGATGACGGTTGCAGTACTGATGATGACTGTGGAAGTGATGGAGATGGCGGTGATGGAGTCAGTTTTTTTGATTGGTTTGATGCTAATGATGATATCGATTGCGACCCTTGTTCTGATGATGATGACCCTGATGCAACTAGTGTTGGCGATAGTGACGCTGATGGTGATTCTGGTGGTCCCGTTGATGATGGTGCTAGTTGCGTTGATTGCGATTGTGGTAAATCCGACTTTGATGATGGTGATGGTGTTGGTGATGGAGATGTTGATGCCAATGCTAATGGTTCAAGTGATGATGTGAGTAGTGTTGATGCCGCTAAGGGTGATGTTGTCGCTGACCCTGATTGTTCAGGTGATCCTGACGTTGCTGGTGATGTCAATAGTAATACTATAGATGTTTGTGCCACTGATTTCGATGCCTTGGCTGATGCCAATGCTGAAGGTTCAGGTGATGATGAGAATAGTGTTGATTCCACTAGCGGTGATGTTGTTGCTGACCCTGATGGTTGAGGTGATCCTGACGTTGCTGGTGATGTCGGTAGTAATGCTATAGATGTTTGTGCCGCTGATTTCGATGCTTCGGCTGAGGATGAGGACATTGGTGTTGATGCCGCTAGAGGTGATCTTGTCGCTGACCCTGATGGTTGAGGTGATCCTGACGCTGCTGGTGATGTCGGTAGTAATGCTACTTTTATTTGTGCCGCTGACGGTGATGCTGGTGGTGATGTCGATGTTTCGGCTGAGGATGAGGACATTGGTTTTGATGCCGCTAGTTGTGATGTTGACCCTAACACAGATGGTTGAGGTGATCCTGACGCTGCAGGTGATGTCGGTAGTAATACTATTGGTGTTGTAGGAGTTGGCGGCAATGTTGAAGCTGACGCAGATGGCGAAGATGATGATACTGATAAGGAATAAAAGAGATGGTAATGTTATCTAAACTTTTTTTGTGTCTTTATCATAAATAACCTTTAACTTTTTAACAGATAGTTATAAGTACAGAGTGAGAAATATTTATTGGTACACAATGCGAAAGGCGCCAAAAGCTAAGCAAGACAAGCGTAAGCAGCATAAGCTACGATCTACATCTAAATACACGAGTAAATAGCTTGTTTACAAGTGTCCAATCCAATTTTCCATTAAATAATCGTCAAAACTGATTAAAAAATCTGGTATCATCCTGAATGAAAGGACGATTGCTCTCTAAATTCATGCTCTATTTAATTTTCAAATATCATTCAACTTGATCTTTGATTTAAATCTTATTTAATTCACTAGGGTTTCCCAGTTCTCCTCCACCAAACAGAGGCCGTTGGCTACAGGCCAAACGGAGGAGGTCCTGCCTACTCGAACTACATCGTCACATTATAAAAAAGGCACCCACTCTTTGCTAACACAGACCTAAACGTGTCCTTAAACCTTTAATTCCCGTGAGCGACCAAGACAGAATTTTCGCGACTAATGAAAATATGCTGAGTTATACACGGTAACAAACAACATTAGAAAGCGCTTTAGTCAGATTTTCCCGCCTCGACTTAGTGACAGGAAAGATGTATTTAGAAAATTTAAGTTGTTCAAGTGAGCACCTCCGCCCCATGGCGAACGTTGACCTGTCTGCAATGTTAGTTGAAAAAATCACACCACAGGAATCAAGTTTCTAGACTGACTTTTTCCTGCAGTTTTTTCAAAATGTGCAGATCAACCATAACTGCATGGGATAACTTCTCAAAGAAGTAATTTCTCTTGACTATTTTCGTTTATTTATGTCAACATGGTTCTTTGATGATCTTTGGTTCTAGACGAACGACAATGAATTAATTAAAGGCTTCATGAAAAAATTATTTGCGTTCGTGTAAATTCATCCAAATCGCTCTGAATCATTTTGTCAGAGGTAATAAATATCCCTTTCGACTTACTTAAAATCTAAATGGCTGAAATTATTAAAGTAAATCTTATCACGCAACCATTGAGTTTTAATTACTAATATCCGGGAAGAGTCTAATGTGTTTTGACCTTTAAATGTTGTCTTTAATGTACTTGAAGGCCTCCCGCTTCAAGGCTTAGTTAAAATTGCTGCTGACAGGGGCTCCTTGTCAGCATATGTGTCAGAATTCTACTGAAGCTTTAATGGATCGTCTGACCAGTTTGCGTGTGAAAGAGATAAACGACATGTTAAGTTATTCTTAACTGAAGCAAATCAGCTTGACATCTGCACGAGAGAAAGCAAGCAAACATGAAAAGGTTTTTATATTTCTGCATTCTTGATAAAGCAGGCTAAGGAATTTGTTTACCTTGTAAACTAGTCGCGATCACACAGACCGTAAAAGACATGATCCACATCACAGTAACCAACAGAGTAATCCTCGTTTTGATCTGATCCATCGTGGCTTTATATGGACGACAGAGCTTGAACGATATACAATCACGTAGGTTGAGGTTCTCCTATTCAACGCTAACCTAGACTTCCGCGGAACAAGGAATCTGAGAAGAAATCAAATTCCCTTAGAGCACAACGCAGTGAGCCGGACGGCAGAGTAATCGTAACCTTTTGTAACCAAGGTTTAAAACAGCTTTGGCGCGTTGCTGAGCACGCTTTTTTCAATAATCCCTTTACCATATCAGACGTGAATCAATTCCAAAACGGAAAATTATCTCAATTATCGCTTGTCTGATATAAGTGCCCGGATTAAGGCATACTAAGTAACAGCGCCTTTGTGTTTCAGGGGTTGACTGACAGAAAAATTGTTTGCTTGACCGCATCGGTAATCCTTGATCATAATTATGAATATTTTGCATCGAAATGATAAAGATTGTGCAGTTAAAGGACATTTCTTTGGGTGCAGCTCTTGCTTAGGTTTATTTTAAGACGACGCGTAACTTACATGAGTTATTCGAGTTTGATTCGATTTTGAGTTGTGTTTTGAAGTGCGGATTGACGCCGAGCGGTTATCATTAGGCAATGTTTAATTTTTTTATTATTGCCGCTCAAAGTTTGACAGCCGACTTACAAACGGTTGGCTGAGGAAATCGTGTTATATTTTACTTGGGTCAAGGTAAATATAGAAGTCTAGTCACATATGTCGTCAATCCTCGCCCTATGGAATGCCATCGCCTCTTAATAAAATGTGTAATAAATACCACGTTTTTTAGGAAAAAAATAAGTATATCTCAGTGTGTTTATGAATTAAGAAAAAAACTCAAAAAATTAAAATTTCAACGGAATCTTTCGATTATTGCAAAGTATATAGCTCCTGGCATAAGGTAGTCATGGAAACTGAAAAACTTGTTGTGCCGTATGTCAATATTCATATTTCTTTGGACGAGAAAACTGGTAGCTAAATTTTCATTTGTTGAATGGTTGTCCAATTTTGTGCAGGAGTGGTTTGCACTTTAACGGTTGCCAGCACAGAACTTTTGCTCTTTCAGGAAAGAGAGCGTTTCAGCATTAAAATTTATCATTTAGAAAATAGCCATTAATTTACTGTATAATTATTGTTGCAGTCAATAATGTCTTGCATGGTTTGTCAGTCACTGTAGTCTTGTTTTGTCAAATGCAATTAGCATGCATGGTTCTCATCAAGAGAAACTATTTACTCTTGTTCTCATACATTGTTTTGGAACGTAAATTGCCCTCAATGTAAATAGTTCGGGCTAAATCTAAGCTATTTTCATTGAGAGAGAACTACATATTAGATATTATTATATAGGTTTTGGAGTACAGGAGTCATGGCGGTCAGACGTTTCTCAAATAGTTCCCGGAAAGTTATAAAGTTTCCTAATATTATCTGTGTGATACTTGTAATATCGCATTGGAGATGTCTTTTAATCACACCAAGTCATGATCTTGCACCATCTGCAACGCTAGGAACTCTGGCTGACTGGACAGATATCAACTCTTCGAAAAGCATTAGCAAATTGGCCAGCCGCCATCTTGGTTCATTATCGTGTTGCCGACGTTGCATTAATACCTGTACACAATTTCGTCGCAAGGGCTTTTTTAGGCCTGTAGCGTATTACTCCAATTCGAATGCGATTTTTCGACCGGAGCTGTTAATCATTTGCGGTGATGTCGATGTAAATCCAGGACCTGTGAGTAAACGAAAGCAAGCAAGGTCTACTGCTCCAACGTGTCCTGTTTGTGAGAAAGCAGTTGCAAAAAATCATAAACGCTTTATCTGTTGGATATGTCACGATATGATGCATGTTAAATGTTCAAACTCTATGGCTGATTTTCGAACTTTCTCTGCTTCATCGCCCGTTTCGTGGACTTGTAATCGATGTGCTTTCGCATCATTACCATCTCTCAACGACAGCTCACAAGATTCTCATTTTGGCGTTCTTGAAGGAGAAGAAGGGGACTCTAGTTTGCTTTCTTCTTTATCGCCCACCCCAGTCGAATGGTATAAAGAAAATATTAAAGGCTATTACAAGAAAAATCTCTCGATTGGCCACCTTAACACAAACAGTATCATTGGCAAAATAGATGAGATTTTGGATCTACTAAACGAATGCCGTTTTGACATTCTCTTTATCTCTGACACGAAGATTGACAAGTCTGTTTCCACAAAGTTATTATCCAACCCACATTACCGTGTCATCAGGAATGATAGAAAAAGGGGTGCCGGTGGTCTATTAGCTTATATTCACAATTCTTTAACTGCGAGAAGACGACTCAAGCTTGAACCAACTGGTGTAGAATCTATTTGCCTCAACGTAAAGGGGAATACAAATACATGGTTTTTCGTTTGTGCCTTTTATCGCTCTCCAAGTAAGTGTAAAGTCACTGACTTCATCTCTGCCTGTTCTACTGCTGCAGAAAACATGCTAAAAATCAGGAATGAAATTGTATTTATTGGAGATTTTAATTTTGATATGATGGACCATGTTGATGGGAATTTGCATAATACGAATAATCCTTTGGCTGATTTCTGCGATCGCTATTGTCTCTCGAATACAATAACTGAACCAACAAGGGTTACTAACACAAGTGAAACCCTAATTGATGTGATCCTAGTTAATCGAACTGAGCGATGGACAAAGAGTGGCACGCTGAAAATTGGAATAAGTGATCACGATCTTGTATACATTGTGAGAAAACTACGCCTACCGAAATCGAAAGTGCAAACGATTGAGTCCAGAAGTATGAAGAAATTTAATGAAGCCTCTTTTTGTTGTGATTTATCTACTGCTCCATGGGACAGTGCCTTTGTTTATGACGATATTAATGATGTCTGGAACCACTGGTCAAAGCTCTACAAAGACATAATAGACAAACATGCGCCTTTTGTGAAAAAAAGGGTTCACGCAAACCAACTTCCGTGGATCAATGTCCAAATAAAAAGAGCAATTCGACTGAGAAACAAACTATACCGCAAATATCGCCTTAGTCGGAATGACGAAACTTGGGAAAGTTATAGAGTACAAAGGAACTTAGTTACCAAACTTAAGCGAATATCTATTAAACGGTTCTTTTTACACTCTTCGGTTAACACGACAACTCCTGGAGATTTTTGGAAGCGGGTAAAGCCTCTTCTACCGTCTTCTGGACAAGATAACAGCGATGGCACATGCATAATGGATAGGGGTGCAGTTGTAAGTGATCCATCCAATCTTTTCAATGAACACTTCTCTTCACCTGTTCTTGATCGAGCTGTTTTGACTAATTCTGTTGAAGATTTCGAACATCATCCGGGTGTGACTTCAATCTCGTCGCGCAATTTCAATCTTGGTTTTTCATTTCAACCTGTCAGTACGGAATACATTGGTAAATTGCTCACTGGCCTTAAAACAAACAAGTCTTGTGGACCTGACAATATCTCTCTCATGATTCTTAAGCTATCTGCATCAACAATCAAAGGGCCTCTGACTAAGCTCCTTAATTACAGCCTTACTAACTCAACGTGGCCACAGGAATGGAAATTAAGTAATGTTACTCCAGTCTATAAAAAGGATGATAGCTCTCTTGTGGAAAACTACAGACCAATCAGTATCTTGTCGTCCATTCCCAAGATTCTTGAGAAAGTTATGTATGATCAGCTCTATGATACTTTCAAGACTCACTTCTCTCTCAATATGTCTGGATTCTTAAGTGGGCACTCATGTTGCACTGCTCTTCTAAAAATGGTTGACGACTGGAGACTAGCCCTGGATTCTAAGAAAGTCACTGGAACTATTGCCATTGACCTTTCCAAAGCATTTGACTCTGTGTGTCACAACCTACTCCTAGCCAAGTTGCGTGCTTATGGTTTGAATGATGATGCCCTCAGATTCGTACAGTCATACTTGACCGAGCGACAGCAAAGAGTTAAATATAATTGCAAACTCTCTGATTGGCTTCCCGTTCAATGTGGTGTGCCTCAAGGTAGTCTTCTCGGTCCCTTATTTTTTAATATATATATATATGAATGACTTAAACTTTGCTGGCCAGATCGCTTCCTTGCGTCTATATGCCGATGATACGACAACTTATCGATCTCATCACGATATCACTTTCTTGGAAATCTCCCTGAACCATGATATTGACATCCTCCTGTCTTGGCTTTCTCGTAATTATCTTATGGTCAACAACATAAAGTCCCAAGCTATGATGATTGGAGATATTGCTTACGTCCCTCAATTTATCATTGGTGACTCTGGAGTCGAATTATCTAACTCACACAAAATCCTTGGGGTCATAATTGACGACAAGTTAACATTTGCTGATCACATACAGAGTGTCATAAAAAAAGTCTATGCCAAGATTGGTGCCCTTAGGAGACTCAAAAAACTTATGCCTGTAGATGTCTCCCTATCGCTCTATAAGGCTTACATACTTCCTCACCTGGAATACTGTAGTCCGCTATTGCTTGGAATAAATAAAACACTGAGCTCTAAACTGGAATCAGTCAATAAGTATGCACTTAAAACTTTGCTTAATCTCGGCAATAGTGTTGACTACAATACAATTTTAGCTAAAAGCAACATGACAACTCTAGAACATAGGCGATTTTATAGTTCCTTGGTATTACTTTTTAAATGTATGAAATGGAACGGTCCAGAATATATTAAAAACTTTTTTCAATTGCGGGAATCTAGATATAATTTAAGGAATAAAGGCGTAAATCTAGTGCAACCAGGGTATAATAATAGATTCTATCATAATTCTTTTACATATAAAGTTAGTCACCTTTGGAACAGTTTACCTAGAGAACTTAAAACAGCATCTAAGCTTAGCGATTTCTGTTGCAAACTTAAGACTTTCGATTTCAGCACACTAGGACCTATCTGTAAATGTAATACATGTATTTGACTTTCATTGTATATACACATACATTGTCATTTTTATTCATATTAATCTACTGCAATATCTTTCACCGAAAATAATGTTTAGACTCCTTTAACTATCAATATTAATTACCTACAAATTCACAATTATTATTCATACTCTAAACTTATATATTTTTACCTATAAAGTTTTTATTTTTTTACTTTTTTTTATCTGATTCAGTTGACATTGTCGCGTGTGTTTGGGCTTTTGCCTTCAGCTCAAATCTTCTCCTTTTTGCCTGTGTTAATTGAGTTAGTTACATGCTGGAATTTATTTTGACTTATAAGTACTTCTTATAATGTACCTTTAATTATAGTTAATTTATAGTCTACCGTTTTATACATGAGCCTCTGGCTCGGGCAATTGGGCAACCATGCCTCACGTTAGACAATAAACTTTGATTGATTGATTGTTTGGACAGATGAGTGGTTGTATGACATTAATGGAAGGACATTGAGACTGAAAGATTACTTAGTCGATGAATAGATCATTAGAATGATGCAATACATTCATTTATTGAAATTTGGGAGATTGACAGCCTGATTGGTTGACTGACTAACTTACTGATCATGGATTGATTGTTTTGTTAATTAATTGGTTAATTTGTTCATTCATTTGTTTTACAGACTGATTCACTACTACTGGTGCTACATTGGTTACAAAATCCCTGCCTTCATCGCTGACATGGGATCCTTTTGTTCTGGGCAAAGACCAAGGTGAGTGAGTTAGAGGGTTTTGCCCAAGTTTTTCTACCTGTATTTGGGCTCATCAAAGACAAAGGTGCTGTAATCAAAACTAGCTTCGAGTTACTGTTTTATCAGTTTTGTACATGAATCTCTTTCTAGGCCAGAAATAAACAATTTCTGAAGGTACAGAGGTTAAGAAAGATGAATTTTGCCAAACAAACTGGTTTCAATGGCTCTCCGGTTAAAAAAAGAAAGGAAAAAAATTACTCTTATGTGATCAGCTTGTTGAGAGAATGTCATGATATGTTTTGATCTCAACAGAATGAATAAGTTATATGGCAAGCTGGACAGGGCAACCACGAGCTTGATCTTCTTCACTTCCAGAGGCTGGGAGGTAGAATTGGACTTAATGATTATATTTATATTTTACATCACATTTCTGAAATCTATATTTGGATTGATAATGACAATCGATGTAATGTGGACACACGAACTTATTCTCATTGAGATGGGTGAGTTTGGGAGCTGTCCTGCATGGGAAGGACGTATTCATGATAACCCTACGAGTGATGGTCAAAAATAAAAATACTTTTGCAGTGAATTAGGCCATAGAAAACAAAACCTAACACTTCCTACAGGGATTATTAAGAGAAGAAGTACTCAGTAAGTTGCGGAGGTTTTTGGCCTCTGTCGGATCGCCCTGTGTTGAGTTTACTGCGTCTCCCGCCAAAAAGACATTTAAACTCATAAATGCTGGTCTGTCCACCGTGAGCGCAAACGAAGTGTAAGCAACTGTAGCATTTCACAGGAGCTTGTTGAATTTCAACTAATGTTTTTTATTTGTAGTTTTCAATGGACAACTATCATGAACTGATCCAAGATATGAGCCCTTAAGACAGATGGTTAGTAACCTTGTTCCTTGTGGAATTTGGCTCGCGTTATCCAAAATTTCGGCTGTAACTTATGAAGTTCAAATTTAAAGAACTGAAATAGCCATGTAACGTTGCATGGTTTGAGGAAACGAAAAATTATTTACTGTTTTTCAATCATGAGGAATGTATGACAGACAGTGCAGAGAAGTGATATTTAGATCCTGGAAGAAAAAAGGGTTTAAAAGACCAGGCAGACTGGATATTTTCTATCGCTTATTGTGCTCTGAATGTTGGCGAGTTTTACTCATTGCCTTGTCTGAAGCTGGCACCTTCCTATCATGCATTTTTGTAAGATGCAACTTTTTTGTAGCTTATTTTAGCATTTTCCTTGATCTATCTGTGTTCTCAGACCTTCAATTTTGACGTGCAGAAGCTGGATTGGAACAACTATTTTTTGCACTTCATTCTCGGCCTCAAGAAATTTGTTCTCAAAGAAAATATGGCCAATCTTCCAATTGCGCAAAGCCGCATTCGCAGGCAAGACTCTTAACATGCTATCAGTTTTTTTTGTACTCTTATAATAGTATATAAAAACATATTTCACTTTGAATTTATTAGAGTAAGTCACTGTTGGCTTAGTTAAGTAAGGGTCAACAGATTCTAAATGCGCAAAATACAGGGTAAAATGAATTTTTAGAGTGATACTAATTTTTTGTAAAAAAAACAAGACATACCGAATCTTTTACTAACCTCTGCTTAACCCTCGGACCTTTAAGAATGACTAACATCCTATTTCTCCTAACAATATCACCCCTGAGTCAAACATGAAGGTCACAAGAATAAAGGAAATGATCACCCACTAAGGAAGCTCATAAATGTTAAACCAATTCTTCTTAACAGTATGGAGCATATGCTTATTGATGATTGGATATAAAGAGAAGAGATACCGTAAATGTCTTAGTGTACTACTGGGTTTGAGGTGTTCTCGTTCCTCGACCAGCTACTCGGTGGAGACCACGTTTGTCGTTGATTTTTCAGGAGAAATAGAATAGTTCGTTCTAGCATCTTTCGTTGCTGCTTGTGTCGTATTTAGGATGGTTGTTGGTGGCTAGCTTTTGTGAAAGGAATGAAAGCTTTCTTGATGTTCTGAATCATACTTTTGAAAATGTTCCTCGACTCCCTTTCTCTTTCATATAAATTCAGAGATCTCTTTACTTTAGCCTAGATTGACCTTAAGCTTTCCCTTGGTTCATTTCCAGATTGCGGAACATCCGTTGGTCTATGTACTTCTGTTTGTTCTTGTTTTCGTCATGGCTCATTATCAAGAGGTTCCCGGCCGCACAGACCGCTTGGGCCTAGTGCTTATCCGGTGTTCACAAGCTGGCGATGGCTCTGGAACCGTTCAAGCTCTCTAACTGAATGTCCCCACGTGTAGCTTGAAGTAATGTAAAGCACTTGAAATTCAAGCAGGATAATTGTTGTGCCTTTTCATGAATGTTTCATGATATAGGGCTTTATAGGCCATATATCACACAACGTAATGTACGTTTCCCAAGACAAAAAAATTGTAGTGTTTAGATAACTTCTGAAATTTAAGATCTAAAATTGACTTGTACTTATTTAAGATTTCGTGGTAGATAGATTCGTTAAGTTGCTGATTGTTATCACAGGGCTAAACGTCCTTTGCTAGGTACGACTCTTGTAAAATTGATTCTATAATAGATCGTAGAAATGGTATGTTAAGACTGAGGATAATTTTGTGTAGTGGGACTGCATTGGGATCGAATGATTCTGGTACACATGCCATGAATTCTTCTTGACTCTGTCGGGGCTTCTTCAGGCAGATAATAGTGATTTGAATTGTATTGTAGTTGTAGGTATTTAACACGTATAATTAACATTACGAAAATCGACGTATTTTTGTGATTACTGAAATAAAATATGTGAATTATTTTTGCCATAAAATGTAACGAGATCGATAATTCTCACAACACGTGGCCCGTAGGTAGTTATAAGTTTTGCCTTATGTACAACTCTTGTTCTTGAACAAGCAGGTTTATTTCTTTAAAGGAGGTTTTCATGTCTCAACAACTGTATCACATATTGCCTAATCAGTAGGCATTTAAAGTCGATTTAAAGGTCATCGACTCTCCAAGGGTTTTCAAATTACTGTTAAGAGAACAAACACACAATTGAAAACTCACCGCGTAATGCTGGTTACGTGGTAACCAATGCTTGCAAATAAATAGTTGTCTCTTCGATTTAAAAAATAGAGTGTGAACTTAAAAGAGTAAATAAATGTCACTTAGAACAAATAGTTACGTTGTCATATTCCAGGCGTGTGAGTCACGGAAAGACTCGAGCCGTAAGTGAAAATTACCAATTACCTTCGAAAAATAGAGGCCCTTATTACCAACAATCTTTAAAAAAAAAGCTCTTATTTAATAACAAAAAAACTACAATTTCCTCGATTGTGATTGGTTTGATGCCATTAATTCACTTGCCAATTTGATATCGGACAGTTCAATAAGCCAATCACATTTAAAGTTGTAATTTTAGCCAAAAAATCACATTTGTAGTTTAAATCAACCAATCGCAATTTAGGCCTCCATTCTCAGTCTTTTAATGCACATTTTCCCTTTCTTTCATAACTTGGCTATTCTTCTTTTCTCACAAACAATAATTTTTATGATTAATAATGGTAATAGGACTGAGTTGAGTCCAATTCAGTCTGTAATCATACGAGCGTTTAACAAAATCGGACGACCGCGAAGCGGGAGTCCGATCTGTTAATCGCTCGTATGATTACAGATAGAATTGGACGACACGATGTCCTGTTACCAATTAATCAAAACTATGACAAAATCTGAGAAAGAAACTAGACATCGGTTATGTGTTTTCATGTAAAAGAAAGCAACAACAACAGTTAGCTCGGCGGAATACAGGGCGCGCATAACGCGTTCTGTCCACTTATACAGGCATGACGTGTTAACTGTCCCTTTAACTGTCCAATTACAAGCATGACGTGTACAGTGTCCTATTAGTGCTCAAATCGGGCTGTTGATGACCAATCACGTTCGAGAATTCTGTTACAGTTTTGATTAATTGGTAAGAAGACTTCGCGGTTGTTCGATTTTGTTATTATTCGTATGATTACAGACCGAATTGGACTCCACTCAGTCCTATTACCATTACATATTGGATGGAAACATAAAAAAGACGTGCGAAAGGCCACATTCATTATTTTAAAACAGAACGACTGTTATTAACTAGATCGTTATCTACATCCAGTGCATGCGTCAGTATTTCGAAAAATAAGCAACTGTTCTTCCTATCTAGTCTGTCACACTTACGTCACTGTTTAGGGGCCGGGGGGAGGATTAACTAATTGAACACACGTGTAATGCTATCGGCGACATTATTCTCAGACACTCCAGTTGATATAATACACTTTAAGTATAGTCCTGAGGGAAACAAAACTAACTAGTTTCCCGTGGGACCATACATTAAGAGCTTTGTCATACATTTAGACTTTCTCTGAAACAATCATTTGCTGTGGTATTAGGCGTGCGGGCAACAACTACGCTTTGTATCCCGGTCGGGATACATTTGAATTTGATAAGGGGCACGTGACCAAGAATCAGCCAATCGCAGTGCTCGTTTTATTAAGAGAAAGTCTAGGTATATAACAATAGTGGTTACTCTTGTCATTATTCACTGCCCTACTCAACATAGATAGGAAGAGAAGGGCTTGCCTTGGCCTGCGTAAAATGCTTTGCCGTTTCATTGCACCCAAACGAGACTAACGTCAGCCGCGCGAGGGCGTGGATTGAAAGCGAAGAGCCCTCTCCCTTTTCGTCATTTTTTAGTGGTTTTATCCACTTGGATAAAAGGAAAAGGAAAGGCTTGCTACACTAGCTACACAGGCGTTCTCCACATTAATGGTTATGATTGAGCTTGGGATCAGAATAACTGAAAAACTCATTTCTTCATTGTTTATCCCTTGTAGTTAAATCGATAAAAAGACAATAACATTTTTGTCTCAGCTGTTTCACTAATAAAAACCAATTCCAGGTAAAAACTGGACATTTTCTTCATCTTTGTCTTCCTTTTCGGAAACATCACTTTTGATGTCGGCTTGCAAAGGCTCATCGCTTTGTGGCTCTGCTTTCTCATCGTCGTTTTCTGGGCCATTATAACCTTCATTCTCCGCTCTAAATGTCTGTGTAACGAAAACAAAGCAAGGCAACGGATGAGAAGCTGAAGAGGAAAATCAGAAAAAAATCGCCAATACATTTACATTTTACCTCTTTCTGCATTTTCTCTATGTAATATACGTCTTTTCATTTACCTTATGTAAAGATTGGAGCGACCAAGGTGCTCAGAGAAAGTGAAGTTTAAATCGGATTTCTAGAGAAAAAGTTAACAATGAGGCTTAATTGTTAAGGCTGCACAAACAGTTATAAAGGTCACTACAACTGGACAACGGTGAAAGTAAAAACCCACCGCTAAGCCTAACTTTTTGCTCGTCTTCCATCCGATATACCAGATAGCAAGTACATATCTTTGGAATCGATGCTGTATATACGGGGCTGTGCAAAAGGATCGTTGTCATTGTGCAGAATTGACGCCTTTCTCGCCCTCTTCTGTTTTGAAGCTTTGTGAGGAAATACCAAAAAATTAGTTTCGGCTCGAAATGCGCTTCAACTGAAATTACATAGAGTCCACTAATATAGAACTGTAAGTCCTTTTTGATTGTAACTCCTTGGCTGGGGAGATTGACGTTTTCCCAAAGAGTAGTGTTCAGAATCGGTCAGAAGTGATTGAATATCAGCTGTGTGTTCTAATCATACTAACTATTGCGACCCTTGGTTAAATCTGAATGGAGCAATTTTCAACCGAGTGACAATAGAAATTCGTGATGGCATTGGTTGGATTCTATATTCATTTTTTGATTTGTTTTTATGTTTGCGCTGCCTTCTCGATCAATGAAACTAACGTGACTTGTTTCTCGCGATCATTCGCGCTTATAGCTGGTATTGGGACCTCTCTCTTCTCGTTTTAGTGTTCATTGACCCCTTCTGAAAGTGCTTCTTCTCTTTGATTGACAATTATAATTACGATCCTCCACTCATTGATATCGGAAGCACCAAATCTTACTTAAAGCTTCTATTATTGCCCTGTTTACTAGAGAGAAATCTTTTATAGGACTAATCGTTACTCACGATTAAACACAGCAGCAAAGCAGGCAAAACCAGAATTATAATCCCAAGTGTGATCACAACCGAAATCCACGCCTTTACAGAGGATGTCGCCTCAGGTTGCTCACTCGGACACGTTGTCGTTAGTGTAGGACCAGCGGCCTACTTTACACTTTCAACGGATATCGTGAAATTTGAGCCTTCTCTATCTTTCTCTATTGCCTCCTTCAGGCTGTCGGCATTAACATCCGTCTTAGTTGTAAGGAAAACTGTGAAGTCGAAAATTATACTCCCCATATGGAAGTTTTTCACCTCAAGATCAAGTTAATTCTGTTCGTATTTATTTTCGAGAATTTCTTTTAAATGGGTTTCAGGCCTGCTCTTAAGGTGTTTGTACTTAACGGAATTGCTATTTGCATATTCGTTGTCCCTAAGCTCCTCCATTTTGCCTCTTCCATCGAATTTCTTAGCGCCTTCTATTGTAGTCATAGTACAAATGAAGGAAACAAATTTTATTAGTAATGGCTGAACTTACGGGTAATTTCGAGAACATTTCACGAAAAGTGTCAGATAACCAATGATAGAATGCTACTGACATGCTTACCCCTACGCAATGATGTGAAGAAGTCATGTTTCGGAGTGACCCTAAAGTTCCGTGACGTATAAAGGATGTTAGTATAAACTACAACAGGGGAAAGCGTTGAAGACCCACTATGATTAAACCACAGATCTGACGTATAGATGTAATACAACAAATCTGAAATATACATGTTACACCACAGATCTGAAGAATGGATGTTCTACCACAGATCTGAGGTGCGGGTGTTATACCACAGATTTGAAGAGTGGATCTTACCCCACAGATCTGAAATATAAATATTATACTACAGATCTAAAGTATTGATGTTATACCACAGATATTAAATATAAATGTTATACCACATATCTGAAGCATGGATGTTATACTACACATCTAAAGTGTAGATGTTCTACCACAGATCTGAAGTATAGATGTTATACCACAGATCTGAAGTCTAGATGTCATATCACAGATCTGAAGGATAGATGTTATACCACAGATCTGAAATATAGATGTTATACCACAGATCTGGAGTTTAGATGTTATACCACAAATCCGAAGTATAGATCTTATACTACAGATCTGAAGTATAGATGTTATACCACAGATCTGAAGGATAAACGTTATACCCCAGATCTGAAGTATAGACGTTATACTACAGATCCGAAGTATAGATGTTAAATTACAGATCTGAAGCGTGGATGTTATACTACAGATCTGAAATATGGATGGTAAACCACAGATCTAGAGCGTGGATGTTCTACGAAAAAATCTGGCCCCAGATGTTCGAAGGGTGGATAACGCTATCCACCGAATAAATCTCTATCCGGTGGATTGCACAGGACGTTTTGCTAACATTTATCTGTTGGGTTGCAGTTCATCTGTTGGGTAGCGTTGCCAGGTCTTTGAACAAATAGGCCTTGAATGTAGATGTTATACCACAGAACTGAACTGTTAATGTTATACATCAGATCTATAGTATGAATATCGTGCTGCAAACATGAGGTGCGAATGGTTTTCTACAAATGAAGTATGGATGGTCTCCTTACTCACTATCCTACCTTTTGACGATGTCGTGGGTGATTGCGACGTTACTGTTGGTGTGGGACCAGCGACCTGCTTTACACTTTCAACGAAAATAGTGAAGTTTGAGCCCCCTTCATCTTTCTCTATTGCCTCCTTCAGGCTGTCGGCATTAACATCCGTCGTAGATGTAAGGAAAACTGTGAAGTCGAAAATTACACTCCCCTCCTGGAAGTTGTTCACCTCAAGATCAAGTAAATTCTCTTCGTATTTCTTTTCGAGAATTCCTTTAAAATGGGTTTCAAGCCTGCTCTTAAGGCGTTTGTACTTAACGGAATTGGTATTTGCATATTCGTTGTCCCAAGGCTCCTCTATTTTGCCTCTTCCATCGAATTTCTTAGCGCCTTCTGTTGTAGTCATAGTACAAATGAAAGAAACAAATTTTATTAGTAATGGCTGAACGTACGGGTTATTTTAAGCACGTTTCACGTAAAGTGTCAGATAGCCCATGATACATGATTGCCCCTTTGCAATCATGTGCAGAAGTCATATGTCATATGGTCAGGAGTGACCCTCAAGTCCCGTAACATAATAACGGATGTTAGTATAAACTAAAGAAGCGGGTAGCGCTATGATTATACCACACATCTAAAGTGCAGATGTCATACCACAGATCTGAAGTGTAGATGTTGCACCACAGAACTGAACTATGTATGTTATACAGCATTAATATTGTGCTGTAATCATGAGGTATGGATGGTTTACTTATTTACTATGTTACCTATTGACGATGTAGTAGGTGGTTGCGACGTCGATGACGTAGACACTGTGCTTGTAACTGCTTTTGCTGTCGTCGATACAGTTTTTTTTGTCGAACCTGTTGATGCTATCGACGAGGATGGTAAAGATTGTGTTACAGCTAAAGATTGTGTCACAGCTAAAGATTGTGTTACAGCTAAAGATTGTGTTGACTGGATTGGTGATACTGGTGGTGACGATGATGGCGGTTGCAGTGCTGATGGTGACTGTGGAAGTGATGGGGATTGCGGTGATGGAGTCAGTGGAGAAGGTGATGGAGACTTTGGTGGTGCTGCCGATGGTGACGGTGACGGAAAATCTGATGGCTTTGGTGATACAGGCATTAATGATGACGAGAGGAATGGTGGCAGTGGTGTCAATGGTGATGGGACTGTTGACACTGGCGCTGATGGTGGCGGCGATACTTGGGTTGATTCTGATACTGATGTGAGTGGTGATGCTAAAGCCAGTGATGATGGCGGCTGTGATGCTGATGAGGTTGTGGACGGCGGTGGTTGCGGTGATGATTTTGATTGCGCTAGTGATGACAGTGGTGATGATTGCGGTGATGATTGGTTTGATGCTAATGATGATATCGATTGCGACTCTTGTTCTGATGATGATGACCCTGATGCAACTAGTGTTGGCGATAGTGACACTGATGGTGATTCTGGTGGTCCCGTTGATAATGGTGCTGGTTGCGTTGATTGCGATTGTGATAAATTCGACTTTGATGATGGTGATGGTGATGGTGTTAGTAAAGGAGATGTTGATGCCAACGTTGATGGTTCAAGTGATGATGTGAGTAGTGTTGATGCCGCTAAGGGTGATGTTGTCGCTGACCCTGATGGTTGAGGTGATCCTGACGTTGCTGGTGATGTCGTTAGTAATGCTATAGATGTTTGTGCCGCTGATTTCGATGCTTCGGCTGAGGATGAGGACATTGGTGTTAATGCTGCTAGAGGTGATCTTGTCGCTGACTCTAATGGTTGAGGTGATCCTGACGCTGCTGGTGATGTCTGTAGTAATGCTACTGATGTTTGTGCCGCTGACGGTGATGCTGGTGGCTGTGATGCTGATGAGGTTGTGGACGGCGGTGGTTGCGGTAAAGATCGTAGTGGTGATGATTGGTTTGATGCTAATTCTGATATCGATTGTGACTCCTGTTCTGATGATGATGACCGTAATGTAACTAGTGTTCGCAATAGAAACGTTGATGGTGATTCTGGTGGTCTCGTTGCTTCGGCCGATGCCAATGCTGAAGGTTCAGGTGATGATGAGAATAGTGTTGATTCCACTAGCGAAGTGTTGAGAAAGAGTTCTCTTGTGTTTAAATATTTCACCGACTCTGATGGCTTAGGTGATCCTAAAGCTGATGGTGATGGCTGTGGTGACCCTGATGATGTTGTAAGAGTTGGCGGCGATGTTGAAGCTGACGCAGATGTTGCTGATAAGGACGATGTTGCTGATAAGGAAAAACGAGATGATAATGTTATCTAAACTTCTCTTGAGCCTTTATCATAAATAACCTTTAACTTTTTTAACAGATAGTTATAAGTACAGAGTGAGAAATGCTTTTTGGTACACAACGCGAAAGGCGCCAAAAGCTAAGCAAGACAAGCGTAAGCAGCATAAGCTACGATCTACATGTAAATACACGAGTGAATAGCTTGTTTACAAGTGTCCAATCCAATTTTCCACTATAATAATCGTCAAAACTGATTAAAAAATCTGGTACCATCATGAATGAAAGGGCGATTGCTCTCTAAATTCATGCTCTATTTAATTTTCAAATATCATTCAACGTGATCTTTAATTTAAATCTTATTTAATTCATTAGGGTTTCCCAGTTCTCTTCCACCAAACAGAGGCCGTTGGCTACAGGCCAAACGGAGGAGGTTCGACCTACTCGAACTACATCGTCACATTATAAAAAAGGCACCCACTCTTTGCTAACACGGACCTAATCGTGTCCTTCAACCTTTAATTCCCGTCAGCGTCCAAGACAGAATTTTCGCGACTAATGAAAATATACTGAGTTATACACGGTAACAAACAACATTAGAAAGCGCTTTAGTCAGATTCTCCCGCCTCGACTTAGTGACAGGAAAGATGTATTTAGAAAATTTAAGTTGTTCAAGTGAGCACCTCCACCCCATGGCGAACGTTGACCTGTCTGCAATGTTAGTTGAAAAAATCACACCACAGGAATCAAGTTTCTAGACTGACTTTTTCCTGCAGTTTTTTCAAAATGTTCGGATCAATCATAACTGCATGGGATAACTTCTCAAAGAAGTAATTTCTCTTGGCTATTTTCGTTTATTTATGTCAACATGGTTCTTTGATGATCTTTGGTTCTAGACGAACGACAATGAATTAATTAAAGGCTTCATGAAAAAATTACTTGCGTTCGTGTAAATTCATCCAAATGGCTCTGAATCATTTTGTCAGAGGTAATAAATATCCCTTTCGACTTACTTAAAATCTAAATGGCTGAAATTATTAAAAATAAATCTTATCACGCAATCATTGAGTTTTGATTACGAATATCCGGGAAGAGTCTGGAAAGAAGACCTTTAAATGTTGTCTTTAATGGACTTGAAGGCCTCCCGCTTCAAGGCTTAGTTAAAATTGCTGCTGACAGGGGCTCCTTGTCAGCATATGTGTCAGAATTCTACTGAAGCTTTAATGGATCATCTGACCAGTTTGCGTGTGAAACGACATGTTAAGTTATTCTTAACTGAAGCAAATCAGCTTGACATCTGCACGAGAGAAAGCAAACAAACATGAAAAGGTTTTTATATTTCTGCATTCTTGATAAAACAGGCTAAGGAATTTGTTTACCTTGTGAGCTAGTCGCGATCACACAGACTGTAAAAGACATGATCCACATCATAGTAACCAACAGAGTAATCCTCGTTTTGATCTGATCCATCGTGGCTTTATATGGACGACAGAGCTTGAACGATGTACAATCACGTAGGTTGAGGCTCTCCTATTCAACGCTAACCTAGACTTCCGCGGAACGAGGAATCTGAGAAGAAATCAAACGCGCAACGCAGTGAGCCGGACGGCAGAGTAATCGTAACCTTTTGTAACCAAGGTTTAAAACAGCTTTGGCGCGTTGCTGAGCACGCTTTTTTCAATAATCCCTCTACTTCGGAAGAAATATCAGACGTGAATCAATTCCAAAACGGAAAATTATCTCAATTATCGCTTGTCTGATATAAGTGCCCGGATTAAGGCATACTAAGTAACAGCGCCTTTGTGTTTCAGGGGTTGACTGACAGAAAAATTGTTTACTTGACCGCATCGGTAATCCTTGATCATAATTATGAATATTTTGCATCGAAATGATAAAGATTGTGCAGTTAAAGGACATTTCTTTGGGTGCAGCTCTTGCTTAGGTTTATTTTAAGACGACGCGTAACTCACATGAATTATTCGAGTTTGATTCGATTTCGAGTTGTGTTTCGAAGTGCGGATTGACGCCGAGCGGTTGTCATTACGCAATGTCTCATTTTTTTATTATTGCCGCTCAAAGTTTGACAGCTGACTTACTTGTTGCTGACTTGTTATATTTTACTTGTGTCAAGGTAAATAAAGGAGTCTAGTCACGCATGTCGTCAATCCTCGCCCTATGGAATGCCATCGCCTCTTAATGAAATGTGTAATAAATACCACGTTTTTTAGGAAAAAAAAAAGCATATCTCAGTGTGTTTATGAATTAAGAAAAAAACTCAAAAAATCAAAATTATAACGGAATCTTTCGATCACTGCAATGTATAGCTCCTGGCATAACGTAGTCATGGAAACTGAAAAACTTGTTGTGCCGTATGTCAATATTCATATTTCCTTGGACGAGAAAACTGGTAGCTAAATTTTTATTTGTTGAATGGTTGTCCAATTTTGTGCAGGAGTGGTTTGCACTTTAACGGTTGCCAGCACATAACTTTTGCTCTTTCAGGAAAGAGAGCATTTCAGCATTAAAATTTATCATTTAGAAAATAGCCATTAATTTACTGTATAATTATTGTTGCAGTCAATATTGTCTTGCATGGTTTGTTAGTCACTGTAGTCTTGTTTGGACAGATGAGTGGTTGTATGACATTAATGGAAGGACATTGACAGACTGAAAGATTACTTAGTCGATGAATAGATCATCAGAATGATGCAATTCATTCATTAATTGAAATTTGGGAGATTGACAACCTGATTGATTGACTGACTAACTTACTGATCATGGATTGATTGTTTTGTTAATTAATTGGTTAATTTGTTCATTCATTTGTTTTACAGACTGATTCACTACTACTGGTGCTACATTGGTTACAAAATCCCTGCCTTCATCGCTGACATGGGATCCTTTTGTTCTGGGCAAAGACCAAGGTGAGTGAGTTAGAGGGTTTTGCCCAAGTTTTTCTACCTGTATTTGGGCTCATCAAAGACAAAGGTGCTGTAATCAAAACTAGCTTCGAGTTACTGTTTTATCAGTTTTGTACATGAATCTCTTTCTAGGCCAGAAATAAACAATTTCTAAAGGTACAGAGGTTAAGAAAGATGAATTTTGCCAAACAAACTGGTTTCAATGGCTCTCCGGTTAAAAAAGGAAGGAAAAAAATTACTCTTATGTGATCAGCTTGTTGAGAGAATGTTATGATATGTTTTGATCTCAACAGAATGAATAAGTTATATGGCAAGCTGGACCGGGCAACAAAGAGCTTGATCTTCTAGCATCACTTCCAGAGGCTGGGAGGTAGAATGGACTTAATGATTATAGTTATATTTTACATCACGTTTCTGAAATCTATATTTTTATTGATAATGACAATCGATGTAATGTGGACACACGAACTTATTCTCATTGAGATGGGTGAGTTTGGGAGCTGTCCTGTATGGGAAGGACGTATTCATGATTACCCTACGAGTGATGGTCAAAAATAAAAATACTTTTACAATGAATTAGGCCGTAAAAAACAAAACCGAACACTTCCTACAGGGATTATCAAGAGAAGAACTACTCAGTAAGTTGCGGAGGTTTTTGGCCTCTGTCGGATCGCCTTGAGTTGAGTTTACTGCGTCTCCCGCCAAAATGACATTTAAACTCATAAGTGCTGGTCTGTCCACCGTGAGCGCAAACGAAGTGTAAGCAACTGTAGCATTTCACAGGAGCTTGTTGAATTTCAACTGATGTTTTTTATTTGTAGTTTTCAATGGACAACTATCATGGACTGATCCAAGATATGAGCCCTTAAGACAGATAGGTTAGTAAACTTGTTCCTTGTGGAATTTGGCTCGCGTTATCCAAAATTTCGGCTGTAACTTATGAAGTTCAAATTTACAGAACTGAAATAGCCATGTAACATTGCATGGTTTGAGGAAACGACAAATTATTTACTGTTTTCAGCCACTTTGTGGGACATAAACTGTTATGTAAAGTAAAGCCGTAAGGTTTTTTACTTAAGAGTTATTTCTTTATTCAGTATCCATACATTTTCAAATTTAACGGTGACCAGGTGGTAAAAAATGTCAACCAGGGAATACTGTTTGATTTATCACAGAATTCTCATTTCCAAAATCATGAGGAGTGTATGGCAGACAGTGCAGAGAAGTGATATTAAGATCCTGGAAGAAAAGGGTTTAAAAGACCAGGAAGACTGGATATTTTCTATTGCTTATTGTGCTCTGAATGTTGGCGAGTTTTACTTATCGCCTTGTCTGGAGCTGGCACCTTTATATCACGCATTTTTGTAAGATGCAACTTTTGTGTAGCTTATTTTAACATTTTCCTTGATCTATCTGTGTTCTCAGACATTCAACTTTGACGTGCAGAAGCTGGATTGGAACAACTATTTTTTGCACTTCATTCTCGGCCTCAAGAAATTTGTTCTCAAAGAAGAAATGGCCAATCTTCCAGTTGCGCAAAGCCGCATTCGCAGGCAAGACTCTTAACATGCTATCAGTTTTTTTTTACTCTTATAATAGTATATGAAAACATATTTCACTTTGAATTTATTAGAGGAAGTCGCTGTTGGTTTAGTTAGGTAAGGGTCAAGAGATTCTAAATGCGCAAAATACAGGGTAAAGTGAATTTTTAGAGTGATACTAATTTTTGTGAAAAAAAACAAGACACACCGAATCTTTTACTACCCTCTGCTTAACCCTTGGACCCTTAAGAATGACTTATATCCAATTTCTCCTTACAATATCACCCCTGAGTCAAACATGAAGGTCACGAGAATAAAGGAAATGATCACCAACTCAGGAAGCTCATAAATGTTAAACTAATTCTTCTTGTCAGAACCTTAGGAAATGTATGGAGAAACAGTATGGAGCATATGCTTATTGATGATTGGATATAAAGAGAAGAGATATCGTAAATGTCTTGGTGTAGTACTGGGTTTGAGGTTTTCTCGTTCCTCGACCAGCTAGTCGGTGGAGACCACGTTTGTCGTTGATTTTTCTGGAGAAATAGAATAGTTCGTTCTAGCATCTTTCGTTGCTGCTTGTGTCGTATTTAGGATGGTTGTTGGTGGCTAGCTTTTGTGAAAGAAATGAAAGCTTTCTTGATGTTCTGAATCATACTTTTGAAAATGTTCCTCGACCCCCTTTCTCTTTCATATAAATTCAGAGATCTCTTTACTTTAGCCTAGATTGACCTTAAGCTTTCCCTTGGTTCATTTCCAGATTGCGGAACATCCGTTGGTCCATGTACTTCTGTTTGTTCCTGTTTTCGTCATGGCTCATTATCAAGAGGTTCCCGGCCTCACAGACCGCTTGGGCCCAGTGCTTATCCGGTGTTCACAAGCTGGCGATGGCTCTGGAACCGTTCAAGCTCTCTAACTGAATGTCCCCACGTGTAGCTTGAAGTAATGTAAAGCACTTGAAATTCAAGCAGGATAATTGTTGTGCCTTTTCATGAATGTTTCATGATATAGGGCTTTGTAGGCCATATATCGCACAACGTAATGTACGTTTCCCGAGACAAAAAAATTATAGTGGGTAGATAACTTCTGAAATTTAAAATCTAAAATTGACTTGTACTTATTTAAGATTTCGTGGTAGATAGATTCGTTAAGTTGCTGATTGTTATCACAGGGCTAAACGTCCTTTGTTAGGTACGACTCTTGTAAAATTGATTCTATAATAGATCGTAGAAATGGTATGTTAAGACTGAGGATAATTTTGTGTAGTGGGACTGCATTGGGATCGAATGATTCTGGTACACATGCCATGAATTCTTCTTGACTCTGTCGGGGCTTCTTCAGGAAGATAATAGTGATTTGAATTTGTAATTGTATTGTAGTTGTAGGTATTTAACACGTATAATTAACATTACGAAAATCGACGTATTTTTGTGATTACTGAAATAAAATATGTGAATTATTTTTGCCATAAAATGTAACATGATCGATAATTCTCACAACACGTGGCCCGTAGGTAGTTATAAGTTTTGCCTTATGCACAACTCTTGTTCTAGAACAAACAGGTTTATTTCTGTAAAGGAGGTTTTCAAGTCTCAACAACTGTATCACATATTGCCTAGTCAGTAGGCATTTAAAGTCGATTTAAAGGTCATCGACTCTCCGAGGGTTTTCAAATTACTGTTAAGGGAACAAACACACAATTGAAAACTCACTGGTTAATGTTAATGCTGGTTACGTGATAACTAATCCATGGAAAGAAATAGTTGTCTCTTCGATTTATAAAATAGAGTGTGAACTTAAAAGAGTAAATAAATAAGTGTCACTTAGAACAAATAGTTACGTTATCATATTCCAGGCGTGTGAGTCACGGAAAGACTCGAGCCATAAATGAAAATTACCAATTACCTTCGAAAAATAAAGGCTCTCGTTATCAACAATCTTTGAAAAAAAGAAGCTCTTATTAGCAATTACCTTTAAAAAAAAAAGCTCTTATTAAATAACAAAAAAACTACAATTTCCTCGATTGTGATTGGTTTAATTCCATTAATTCGTTTGCCAATTTGATATGGACAGTTCAATAAGCCAATCACATTAAAAGTTGTAATTTTAGCCAAAAAATCACATTTGTAGTTTAAATCAACCAATCGCAATTTAGGCCTCCATTGTCCGTCTTCTAATGCAAATTTTCCCTTTCTTTCATAACTTGGCTATTCTGCTTTTCTCGCAAACAGTAATTTTTATGATTAATAATGGTAAAAGGACTGAGTTGAGTCCAATTCGGTCTGTAATCACACAAGCGATTAACAAGCGGGAGTCCGATTTGTTAATAGCTCGTATGATTACGGATAGAGTTGGACGACACGATGTCCTGTTACCAATTAATCAAAACTACGACAAAATTTGAGAAAGAAACTAGACATCGGTCATGCGTTTTCATATAAAAGAAAGCAATAACAGTTAACTCGGCGGAATTCGGGACAACAGGGCGCGCATGACGCGTTCTGTCCACTTACACAGGGTTGACGTGTTAACTGCCCCTTTAACTGTCCAATTACAAGCACGACGCGTACAGTGTCCTTTCCCCTATTAGTGCTCAAATCGGGCTGTTGATGACCAATCACGTTCGAGAATTCTGTTATAGTTTTGATTAATTGGTAAGAAGACTTCGCGGTCGTTCGATTTGTTATCATTTGTATGATTACAGACCGACTTGGACTCCACTCAGTCCTACTACCATTACATATTGGATGGAAAACAAAAAAACGTGCGAAAGGCCACATTCATTACTTTAAAACAGAACGACTGTTATTAACTCTACTGTTATCTAAATCCAGTGCTACATGCGTCAGTATTTCGAAAAATAGGTAACTGTTCTTTCTATCTAGTCTGTCACACTCACGTCACTGTTTAGGGGCCGGGGGGGAGGATTAATTAACTAATTGAACACACGTGTAATGCTATCGGCGACATTATTCTCAGACACTCCAGTTGATATTATACACTTAAAGTATAGTCCTGAGGGAAACAAAACTAACTAGTTTCCCGTGGGACCATACATTAAGAGCTTTGTCATACATTTAGACTTTCTCTTAAACAATCATGTGCTCTTGTATTAGGCATGCGGGCAACAACTACGCATTGTATCCCGGTCGGGATACATTTGAATTTGATCAGGGGCACGTAACCAAGAATCAACCAATCGCAGTGCTCGTTTTGTTGAGAGAAAGTCTAGGTATATAACAATACTGGTTACTCTTGTCGTTATTCACTGCCCTACACAACATATATAGGAAGAGAAGGGCTTGGCTTGGCCTGCGTAAAATGCTTTGCCGTTTCATTGCACCCAAACGAGAATAACGTCAGCCGCGCGAAGGCGTGGATTGAAAGCGAAGAGCCCTCTCCCTTTTCGTCATCTTTTAGCTGGTTTTCGCCCCAAGCCCTCGCACAGCTCATGTCTCCCCCACTTGGATAAAAGGAAAAGGATAGGCTTCCTACACTAGCCACACAGGCTTTCTCGACATTAATGGTTATGATTGAGCTTGGGATCAGAATGAATGAAAAACTCATTTCTTCATTGTTTATCCCTTGTAGTTAAATCGATAAGAAGACAATAACATTTTTGTCTTAGCTGTTTCACTAATAAAAACCAATTCCAGGTAAAAACTGGACATTCTCTTCATCTTTGTCTTCCTTTTCGGAAACATCACTTTTGAGGTCGGCTTGCATAGGCTCATCGCTTTGTGGCTCTGCTTTCTCGTCGTCCTTTTCCGGGCCATTATAACCTTCATTCTCCGCGTTAAATGTCTGTGTAACGAAAACAAAGCAAGGCAACGGGTGAGAAGCTGAAGAGAAAAATCAGAAAAAATCACCAATACATTTACATTTTACCTCTTTTTGCATTTTCTCGATGTAATATACGTCTTTTCATTTATCTTATGTAAAGATTTCCTTGGTTTCCCACAATAAAGCATCGAGAAAATATCTCTCATAATCCAAGGAAACCGGCCAAAAAATATCGTAAGAGTAGATAAAAATTCACTAAACACGTGATGAGAAAGGCCAAGATAGAGCGACCAAGGTGCTCAGAGAAAGTGAAGTTTAAATCGGATTTTTAGAGAAAAAGTTAACAATGAGGCTTAATTGTTAAGGCTGCACAGACAGTAATAAAGGTCACTACAACTGGACAATGGTGAAAGTAGAAACCCACCGTCAAGCCATGACCTTTTGCTCGTCTTCCATCCGATATACCAGATAACGAGTACATATCTTTGGAATCGACGCTGTACATACGAGGCTGTGCAAAAGGATCGTTGTCATTGTGCAGAACTGACGCCTTTCTCCCCTTCCAACTATTTTTCAGTCTTCTGTTTTGATGCTTTGCGGGGAAAAACAAAAAATTAGTTTCGGCTCGAAATGCACTTCAACTGAAATTACATAGAGGTCACTAATATAGAACTGTAAGTCATTTTTTATTGTAACTCCTAGGCTGGGGAGATTGAAGTTTTTCCAAAGAATAGTGTTGAGAATCGGTCATAAGTGATTGAATAACAGCTGTGTGTTCTAATCATTGCGACCCTTGGTTAAATCTGAATGGAGCAATTTTCAACTGAGTGACAATGGAAATTCGTGATGGCATTGGTTGGATTCTATATCCATTCTTTGATTTGTTTTTATGCTGGCGCTGCCCTCTCGATCAATGAAACTAACGTGACTTGCTTCTCGCGTTTATTCGCGCTTATAGCTGGTATTGTGACCTCTCTCCAGTTTTAGTGTTCATTGCCCCTTTCTGAAGGTGTTTCTTCTCTTTGATTGATGATTATAATTACGATCCTCAATAATAACGATCCTTTACTCATTGTTATCGGAAGAACCTAATCTTACTTACAGCTTCTATTATTACTCTGTTTACTAGAAAGAAACCTTTTATAGGACCAATCGTTACTCACAATTAACCACAGCAATAAAACAAGCAAAACCAGAATTATAATAACAAGTACGATCACAACCACAATCCACGCCTTTACGGAGCATTTCGGTTCAGGTTGCTCAGTCGGACACGTTGTCGTTGGTGCGGGACCAGCGACCTGCTTTAAACTTTCGATGGATATAGTGAAATTTGAGTCCCCTTCATCTTTCTCTATTGCCTCCTTCAGGCTATCGGCATTAACATCCGTCGTAGATGTAAGGAAAACTGTGAAGTCGAAAATTATACTCCCCTTATGGAAGTTTTCCACCTCAAGATCAAGTAAATTCTGTCCGTATTTCTTTTCGAGAATTCCTCCTAAATGGGTTTCAAGCCTGCTCTTAAGGTCTTTGTACTTATCGGAACTGTTATCTGCATATTCGTTGTCCCAGGACTCCATCACTTTGCCTCTTCCATCGAATTTCTTAGCGCCTTCTATTGTAGTCATAGTACAAATGAAAGAAACAAATTTGATCAGTAATGGCTGTTCTTGCGGGTTATTTTAAGCACGTTTCACGTAAAGAGTCAGATGACCAATGGTACATGATTACCCCATAGCAATCATGTGCAGAGGTCATGTGTCAAATGGTCAGTAGTGACCCTCAAGTCCCGTGACATAATGACGGATGTTAGTATAAACTAAAGCAGCAAATAGCGCTATGATTATACCACAGATTTAAAGTATAATGTCATACAACAGATCTGAAGTGTAGATGTTGTACCACAGAACTGAACTATGTATGTTATACAGCAGATCTATAGCATGAATATCGTGCTGTAAACATGAGGTGTGGATAGTTTTCAACAGATCAAAGTATGGATGGTCTACTTATTCACTGTTACCTTTTGACGATGTGGTAGGTGGTTGCGACGTCGGTGACGTAGACACTGTGCTTGTAACTGCTTTTGTTGTCGTCGATACAGTTTGTTTTGTCGAACCTGTCGATACTATCGACGAGGAAGGTAATGTTACAGGTAAAGATTGTGTTGACTGGATTCGTGATACTGGTGGTGACGATGATGACGGTTGCAGTACTGATGATGACTGTGGAAGTGATGGAGATGGCGGTGATGGAGTCAGTTTTTTTGCTTGGTTTGATGCTAATGATGATATCGATTGCGACTCTTGTTCTGATGATGATGACCCTGATGCAACTATTGTTGGCGATAGTGACGCTGATGGTGATTCTGGTGGTCCCGTTGATGATGGTGCTAGTTGCGTTGATTGCGATTGTGGTAAATCCGACTTTGATGATGGTGATGGAGATGTTGATGTCAATGCTGATGGTTCAGGTGATGATGTGAGTAGTGTTGATGCCGCTAAGGGTGATGTTGTCGCTGACCCTGATTGTTCAGGTGATCCTGACGTTGCTGGTGATGTCAATAGTAATACTATAGATGTTTGTGCCACTGATTTCGATGCCTTGGCTGAGGATGAGGACATTGGTGTTGATGCCGCTAGAGGTGATCTTGTCGCTGACCCTGATGGTTGAGGTGATCCTGACGCTGCTGGTGATGTCGGTAGTAATGCTACTAATGTTTGTGCCGCTGACGGTGATGCTGGTGGTGATGTCGTTGTTTCGGCTGAGGATGAGGACAATGGTTTTGATGCCGCTAGTTGTGATGTTGACCCTGACACTGATGGTTGAGGTGATCCTGACGCTGCAGGTGATGTCGGTAGTAATACTATTGGTGTTGTAGGAGTTGGCGGCAATGTTGAAGCTGACGCAGATGGCGAAGATGATGATACTGGTAAGGAATAAAAGAGATGATAATGTTATCTAAACTTCTGTTGAGTCTTTATCATAAATAACCTTTAACTTTTTAACAGATAGTTATAAGTACAGGGTGAGAAATATTTATCGGTACACAATGCGAAAGGGTGCCAAAAACTGAGCAAGAAAAGCGTAAGCAGCATAAGCTACGATCTACATGTAAATACACGAGGAAATAGCTTGTTTACATATGTGCATTCCAATTTTCCACTATGATAATCGTAAAAATTGATGCAATAATCTGGTACCATCATGAATGAAAGAACAATTGTTTTCTAAATTCATGCTCTATTTAATTTTAAAATATCATTTAACCCTTTAACTCCCTGATCAAATTTGTAATTCTTCTTACTGTCAACCAACAATTCTTATAATGTTAGTTCAGAGAATTTAGTACTAGATCAACTAATTATCCCCAAATTTATATTTTTCTTTATTCTCATCAGCTATCTGGTTGATATTGTATTGATATTGTAAGGAGAAATTCTGTCTTGGTCACTCATGGGAGTTAAAGGGTTAACTTGATCTTCAACCGAATTCTTACTTAATTCATTGGGGTCTCCCAATTCTCCTCCACCAAACAAGGGCCGTTGGCTACAGGCCAAACGGAGGAGGTCCGACTCACTCGAACTACATCGTCACCTTATAAAATGGGCACCCAGTCTTTGCTAACACAGACTTCAACGTGTCTATAACCCTCTAACTCCCGTGAGTGACCAAGAGAAAATTTCTCCTTATTATATCTTTACAATATCATGCAGACAAGTGATGAGAATAAAAAAAAATATCAATTATGGCATTACCAATTGAGCTGATACCAGATTCTCTAAACTAGCTATTGAGAATCATTTGGCAGACAGTTAGGAGAATTACTAATGAGATCTAGGGAGTTAAAGGGTCAATTGTTTTCCTTTTTAACTCGTGAATTGCGCGCATGCGCAAGAGCGAGTTGTAGATACGATGTAGGGAATGGCATTCGCTCTCTCGCTCGCTCGCTCGATTGGTCGATTCCTGTAAACTTTTTTTCGATTTTAAGCTTTTGAGTGCATTTGATAGCTTTTGGCGAGCAAAAAACAAACGAAATGGTGACCTTTGTTGCTAAGAATAGTGGTGGGGTGACAAAGAAGCCAATGATAATCTTAAAAGAGTTTTTTTTTTTTCGTTTTAGTTTCAACAAGCGGCGCCAGCAACTGGCAGCATGCAAGGATTCACATTGAAATAACAGTACAACCTTCGTTTTTCATAAAATTGTAATTTACAATCCTTGAACTTGAAAATAATCCGAAGATTCATTGATTCATATCACTTACTGCGAAGCGCTCGGAGTTTACAGATGTTCAAAAGCTTTTTCTGCTACGGCGTGAGATTGAGGAAAAAATCGATCATTACGCTTCGTATCGTGTGTTTTTCCTGTGTCAAGCAACACAAGATGCCGGCGACTAACGAAATTACAAGTTAACACGAAAATCAAATAACACCTAAACAAACAATTTTAGCTACCGATTTTCAGTGAATTTTTAAAGAACAATTTTTTTTAAGTTTCAAGACAATTTGAAGATTCAAAATAAATATTACGTACTAAAATGCGAAAGTTATACACCACAAAATTGATAAATAGGCCCGAAATGAAATTCTATCTTGTTATTGACTCAGTACGTTGCCTAGCACGTGACTAAAATATGACAGTGGCAGTCTTGGCTTAGTTGTATCACTCAAAACTCGTTCCCGTTTGTCTCATTTGATAAAGAGGGAATCGTTAATGTTTTCATTAAGACAGTATTGCCTTGATTTTCTAATATTTACAACGAAAGACAGTAAATTTCACTTTTCACCCACATTTACCTCCAACCTTTTCTTTTGAACCAGAAACAGAAATGATATACGTTTAAAACACATGACATCATCCACCCTTGTCAAATGCAATAGCATGATCATTTCAATTGTAATGCCTTCTTATCCCAACGTTACTTTGTTTCTTTGCTACATCAGCGAACACTGAACTACTGCTCGTACTCTAAATATGACAATCGACCACAAATTCCCTAAACCAGATAACATTAAACATAATCCAAAAAATCATATAAGTCATCTGTCAATTCACGGGTTTGCTCACAGAGCACTTTAATTTTAATTTTTGTGACTTCCTTTATGGATATCCACTTTTACACACGGGTTTCAAGGACCAAGAGAAAACATTATTCGCGACTAGTGAAAATATACTGAGTTATACACAGTCACATACAACATTAGAAAGCGCTTTAGTCAGATTCTCCAGCCTTGACTTCGTGATAGGAGTCACGCAGTTATGAAATTGAAGTTGTTCAAGTGAGCACTTCCGGTCCACGGCGAACGTTGACCTGTCTCTAATATTAGTTGAAAAATTACACCACAGGAATCAAGTTTCTAGACTGACATTTTTCTTGCAGTTTTTTCAAAATGTGCGGATCAACCATAACTGCATGGGATAACTTCTCAATGAAATAATTTCTTTTTAGCTATTTTCGTATATATATGTCAACATGGTTCTTTCATAATCTTTGGTTCTAGACGAACGACGATGAATTATTCAAAAGCTTAATTAAAAATTACTTGCGTTCGTGTAAATTCATACAAATCGCTCTGAATCATTTTGTCAGAGGCAAATAAATATTCCTTTCGACTAACTTAAAATCTAAATGGCTTGTGTTATCAATTCAGTTGTTCTTACGGAATTTACGGAAATAAGTTTTCTGGAAGGATGATCTTAAGGTTATTTCGCTAAATATTTGTAGACAACCATTATTACAGAAACTTAAAGCCATGCATTAAGTGCTAGAATGATTTCGATGCAGCTAACAACAGGCCCATACAGAACGGTTTGAAAGTAGGAAATAAAGTATTACTGCTCGTCTGCTTCATAATCTCAAGCCCGGAAAACAGATTAATCATCATTAAGTGAAGCAGAGCGTGTGATCCGTAAAGAAAAGCTGAATAGATGTTTGACATAAGTAATTGTGAACCTTTGTGTTTTATACATGACTACATTTCTGGAACATAAACAAGTCAATGCATTATTCGTCGCTTTATATAATTGTCTGAGCTACAACGTCCTGGATAAAGGAAATGCAGGAAATTATGAAAGTAAATCTTATCACGCAACCATTGAGTTTTAATTACGAATATCCGTGAAGTCTAATGTGTTTTGACCTTTAAATGTTGTCTTTAATGGACTTGGTGGCCTCCCGCTTCAAGGCTTTGTTAAAATCGCTTTTGACAGGGGCTCCTTGTCAGAATTCTGCTAAAGCTTTAATGGAACATCTGACCAGTTTGTGTGTGAAAGAGATAAACGATATGTTAAGTTATTCTCAACTGAAGGAAATCAGCTTGACATTACAGAAACGAAACTGCACGAGAGAAGCAAACAAACATGAAAAGGTTTTATATTTCTGCTTTCTTGATAAAACAGGCTAGGGAATTTGTTTACCTTGTGAGCTAGTCGCGATCACACAGACCGTAAAAGACATGATCCACATCATAGTAACCAACAGAGTAATCCTCGTTTTGATCTGATCCATCGTGGCTTTATATGGACGACAGAGCTTGAACGATATACAATCACGTAGGTTGATGTTTTCCTATTCGACGCTAACCTAGACTTCCGCGGAACGAGGAAGCTTAGAGGCAATCAAATTCCTCTAGAGCGCAACGCAGTGAGCCGCACGGCAGAGTAATCGTAACCTTTTATAACCAAGGTTTAAAACAGCTTTGGCGCGTTGCTGAGCACGCTTTTTTCAATAATCCCTCTACTTCGGAAGAAATGTCAGACGTGAATCAATTTTAGAAACGGAAACAAGTGATGTAAATTATCGCTTGTCTGTCATAAGTGCCCGGATTAAGGCATACTAAATAAAAGCGCCTTTGTGTTTCAGGGGTTGACTGACGGAAAAATTGTTTGCTTGACCGCATCGGTAATCCTTGATCATAATTGTGAATATTTTGCATCGAAATGATAAGGATTGTGCAGTTAAAAGGACATTTCTTTGGGCGTAGCTCTTGTTAAGTTTTATTTTAGGACGACACGTAACTTACATGAATTATTCGAGTTTGATTCGATTTCGAGTTGTGTTTCGAAGTGCGGATTGACGCCGAGTGGGTTGTCATTACGCATTGTTTAATCAGGTATTTTTCATTGTTGCCGCTTAAAGTTTGACAGCCGACTTCCAAATGGTTTGCTGAGGAAATCGTGTTATATTTTACTTGTGTCAAGGTAAATATAAAAGTCTTGTCACATATGTCGTCACTCCTCGCCCCATGGAATGCCATCACCTCTTAATAAAATGTACAATAAATAACACTTTTTTGGAAAAAAAAGTGTATCTCAGTGTGTTTATGAATTAAGAAAAAAAACTCAAAAAATCAAAATTATAACGGAATCTTTCGATCACTGCAATGTATATAGCTCCTGGCATAACGTAGTCATGGAAACTGAAAAAATTGCTGCGCCGTATGTCAATATTCACATTTCCTTGGACGAGGAAACTCGTAGCTAAATTTTTTATTTATTGAATTGTTGTCCAATTTTGTGCAGGGGTGGTTTGCACTTTAACGGTTGCCAGCACAGAACTTTTACTCTCTCGGGAAAGAGAGCGTTTCAGCATTTTTTTTTTTCTGCTGAAAAACCCGTACTAATCCCCTTGACGAAGATTTCTTTCGCTGTTGATGCGAAACATCTCCAACTAACCGGAAGCCGAAGGCTCTGGAGAAAACGGAAGTCAATGACTTCCTAGTTCCCAGCTTTTTGGCAAAGCAAATAATGAAAGAGATTGGGAACAGCAGCGATATTCTGGAAAAAAGCGTGTTTCACGGAGTTAGGGAATTTAGGTCTACCTTTACTACTTATTTTATTTGTTTACTAGGATTGAGAATGCCGATTACTGACAAGGATATACCCTGTGTAAGGGCTATTCATAGCTGTGCGAAATGCAATCGACCATTCAAGGGAAAGGATTCTAAAGAGAGTTATATTAAGCATATAGAACACAGTTCAAAACATAAAATCTCGAAGGCTAGTGTACCCGAAAGCTGTGGTCAATGTGGTCGATACTTTTCAAGCACGAGAGCTTTAATTCAACACTTGAAAAAAAGTCGCCATCATTTGAAAGATTTGCACCACGCCGCTTGCACGGGGAAATTTCAACTCGTGGAGAAATTAATGAGAAATGAGATGGCAGATTCGCCAGGAGATTCTCATCAACCGTCGAAACCTCAGATGGGATTCACGCCGATGCATTGTGCTGCCTTCGGCGGCCACGAAGAGTGTTTGACGATCATGCTTAGCTGGGCCGATGGAGATCCAAATGTTGTTGATCCCAAAGATGGCAAAACTCCTGTTCATCTAGCAGCATGGAAAGGACACGGGAATTGTCTCAGATTACTGCTCAAGAAGGGTGGTGATATATCTAGACCTGATCGCAATGGAAACACTCCAATGTCTTTAGCAAAAGATAGATATTGTATGTATGTAGTTGGATATCATTTGGCTGGTGAGTACTGCATTAATTCAACTGTTTGGTAAATGGCTGAATTACATTAATTTGATAAGACTGGAGGGTGCATAACATATTCCCTTCGTAGGGAAGAATGTATTGTATGTATGTTGTTGGATATCATTTGGCTAAATGGCTGAATGCCATTAATTTGCTAAGTCTGGAGAGTGCAAAAAATATTCCTTTCGTAGGGGAGAATGATGGCGATTTAAAGAGCGAGTTTTCCAGCTATTTGTGATCTTTGTGAAGGAGCAAAACATGAAGCTGGTGGTTATTTAAGTTAATTTTTAGTTTGTGCTTGTAATCCTAAAATTTTTGTTTAGTCTTGTGCTGAACCAAAAGAATAGGATGGAGGCAGTCTGCGTTGATTCACCAGTGAGTTGGCAGTACACTGATAACTATGGTGGCATACAACTCAGCCATCTTTTTCGTTTCTTCCTAATCATATTGAACTTGGATGATAAATTGGCGTCGAACGGAGCATTTTTTTTTAATTGTAAGCTACTGTTTTTCACAGCAAGGCAATTCAAGCTGATGATGGAACCGTTATGTGACAATCTACGCCGTGTAAATATTGCAGAGGTACCCACGCAAATCGAAGGTCGTGAAGAACCAAGGCAGGCTGAAGAAGTCAGTCCATCAAATATTCAAGGTGAAGTTATCTTAAAATTGATGAGACACGTTTACATTAAGTGGTTTTGACTAAGCTAACTATCATCCTAGGAGTAGCATTTGTTCTTCCCTTTTCTCTCCCTTGCCCTGAAGGGTGGGGTATTTTTTGGTAAAACGCATAGTCCATAGCCACTACCAGCAGAACTTTATTTCCAAAACCAGACAACTATCCCCTAAAACAAGACTTTGTTGCTGCCAATCAGTAGAACTCACTACTCCAGTCACATAGTAAGACCTGAACGTTTTCTGAATTTTAACTAGCGAGAGAATTTCTTGAAATAAATAAAGTGATATCTTTGCAAAACCTAAGGATAAAATTATACAAAGGAAATTCGTAAATGATAATTGATAAAATGTTTTACTGAAAATACTTCTCATTCGTGCATCCCAAACCTATACAGACAAATCCAGTGAACCTTATGAAGTTCTTGCGAGGGGCGAGTTGGCAGTTGAAATATTTAACAAGGCACTACTTGAGGGGAAAGCTTGTGTACCTCGTATGCAGCTCACCGTGATTGGAGATGTAGGCGTGGGCAAGACAAGCCTGGTACGTTCTCTTAGTGGAGAAGATTTTGTAGAAGAACGGGAAGAAACTCGTGGAATCGTCACATCCATGGTTGAGATGACAGAATTAGACGAGTCGTGGCATGCGGTTGACCTGAATAATTCCATTGTAGATGACATTTTAGCTGAGAAAGTGTGTCAGGGAATTAGAGGTACCCCAGTAAAAGGCCAGTCTAATGATTCTCATGGGAAACAACCTGGTTGTTCTCAGTCAAGACTGTCTTTTCCCCCAACCAATTTCAGGCGACTTGCTAGCATAGAAGGTCCATCTACTTCAGGAGGTACTGGAATAAGAAGCAACGCGGATGAAACAAGTATGGTAAATATGTCTCCTTCTGCAAGTCCCAGTCTTCTATTTGGAGACACCCCTTCACGTACCATGCCAGTCGATCAAATCAAGCGAAAGCTGAGTCTCCCTGTGGGAACGTCACCGAATGATAGCGAGAAGAAGTACACTAAAATCAGCATTTGGGACTTTGCAGGCCACTCTTTGTATGAAGCAATGCACCATGTTTTCCTAAATCGGCGTTCATTTTATCTTGTTGTATTGAATTTGGTTCGGCTGTGTAACCCTGAGACTGTTAACCAAGCCTTAGAGGAGATACACTTTTGGCTCAATTCCGTACGCGTACATACTCCTCACACGACACCTGTGTTCCTCGTAGGAACGCGTCGCGCTGAAGTGGCGAACGAAGATTTGGCTACTGCAGAGAGTGTCCTTTATGATGAATTGGTAGAGAGCTTTGGGCAACAACTGGTTAATAGTAAAGAACAAAGCTTCTTGTTTCCGGTGGAAAACGCCCTAGGTGGTGAAGACTCTGGTGCCATAGCCTTAAGGAAAGCCATCGAAAATGAAGCTGCTCTCTTACGGAAAATGGACGAGGAACTTCCTGTGTTGTGGCTACATTTTGAAGAGGAAATTCTGAAGTGCAGGGATCATCCACTTTTCCCACCTTGTGTGCGCAAGATCAACCTGAAACGCATGATGGAGCAGAATACTTCCCGTGTTGTCGAAGAAAGAGAGTTTGACAGCATGCTGCATTTCTACCATGACAGCGGAGTGATAATCCTACCAGGTCAGTAAATTATCATATAGATATTTCCTTTCTGTAACATGTCTCATAAATCTCAAGCAAACATGTTCATTAAAGTGACAATGATTTGGTTGAGGAATTTGAGAACATTCTTTAAACTCTTCAAGCGACACTAAATTACTATTTCGAAACCTTTACCCCGTTCAAATGGAGGTAAATTTTTTTTTCAGAGGAGCTGATCGGACCGACGACGTATCACTCCGAGCTGAACGACTTGGTGGTCATCAATCCACAATACCTAGTCGATGTTATGACTTGTCTTCACGATGTTACCGACCACCTGGATATTGATCGTAGACACCGTAGTCAGTGGAAGACCTTGCAAGAGGAAGGAGTGGCTGACATCGAGCTTCTTAAGTTTTTATGGGAAAAATTCAGAAGCCCTATTGCTGAGCTTGTTGGTATCTTGGAAGCTTCAGGTATGCTGTGCCCAATCTCTGCCTCAGCTGAGGTAAAAGACCACGAAGATGGCACCGTTCCAGTTGAAGGTGACGAGAATAGTGCTCAAATCAGCAAATACATTGTTCCATTTCACCTAAAAGAGAAAAGCTTGATGAGAAAGTGGGAAAAGCTTTGTCAGAAAAGCTGGTCTGGAATTTGTACCTCAGACAAACTCCTCGTGTTTGATTTCCGTAGTTTCCTACCTCCCGCTCTCTTTAACTACTTTATTGTTCGTACAAGCGCAAGAAGCAAAGACAGCAGTGGTATGAAACCGATCATCACCAAAGGGATGGCCATATTTTCATTTGAAGATAGTTTCTTTCTTCTTACGGAGATGTGTCAGAAACACAACCAAATTCGAATCAGGGCAAGGCAAGTGCGATTTCCTCCTTCTTGATGGGCAACACACTTTATCCCCCTGGGGTCAGCAGTTTGAATGGCTGCCATGTGGGTCAGCATCTCTCATTTGAAGCCTGTTCATCAACGAAATTTTAATACATTGACATAGCAGTGGCACAGTCGGTGTCATTGAGTCATACGCATTCACATCTATTAATTATTCTCGTGGAGATTGTTAGAAATTAGGAATTGTAGATTTCCGCTCTACCACATGTGAACGAGACATTAAAGAGGTTTCTTCAAATCATAACCGTAGAAGTTAATTAATAGTTCCATTTGTGTATAGGTTCTCTACTTATTTATTTATTTATTTATTTATTTATTTATTTATTTATCCCCCCTCATAGGTACAAGAATGGCAAGAAGCTCCACAAATTGTTTAACATACTTATGTCAATAATGACAGACATTTGTCAGCGCCAGTTTAGATTTCTTAAGTTCAGCTTTGGGCCTGTCTGTCCTAACCCACGTTGCCCTGGGTCATCCAGTGACGGAACGGTTCGCCGAGCGGAAACCTCCTCTGATGAAAGTGATGAAGGCGATGATGATGGAGAGTGCGAAGGTGGTGGGCTCGTGTCCTCTGTCCATTCCCCAGCCGAAGGCGTTCGTCGCCACGTAATCTGCATTGACCCAACTGTACCATCTAAGCCCATGTGGTGTAACTCTACGCCAGTCCACGAATTTGAAGAAATTAAACAGTGGTTTGTCGAGGTAAGGAACTATCTAAACAAAGAATCGCCCCAATTTCTTATCTTAAAGACTTTTCTTTCGGCGTAAATTCTAGGCAAGAGAAGTTGAAGGTCAAAAGACTTTCTGGTTATTCCCGTAAAATTATTTCATAATCGATCTCATTTCAGAGAACCGTTAAAGATCTTGAAAAAAAGAAAGCAATTTTGTTTCGGAAAATTACCATGCGTCGGTTCATTTTTCGTGAAAAAGTTATAATTTTCTCCTCTCTCTTTCTTGAATTTTCTTTCCGCAGCCGCAAGATGGCAGTTCTAAGGTCCCAGAGGATTCTCATTGTTATTCTGGTAAGTCAATTTCCATGTTGAAAACAAGAACTTCCTCTTTACTTCACCATTTTCTACATGCCCTTTTGACTTGACTTGTAATGTACAATAAACGTAGAATATACAAAACCACACTATGCCTCTTCCGAATGAGCGTTTGTAACATCATGCTGATCCTTGAGATGGAGCCAAATGATTATTATTCTATAAATATAGCAGTATCCTCTGGGAGAGACCATAGTTCCTACCAGCAGTTTTGAATATGCTGAATGACAAAACTCAGAACTACTGCTAATGAAATTTAAAGAAAGAGATCAGCAAAACTCATTTTAACTGAGGCTGGTCTAATTTCGGTTTGATCAATTGTTGGATCAAATGGATCTCAATGTTTATTTGTGGGGTGCATGTTCAAAGTTTGAAATTTTTCTCACTTTTTTCAACCTATGTGCTCTGTTTTTGCCTCGTAAGAACAAGTTCAGAGTTGCTGTCTTGTCGTAGTCGCCAAGCAACTGGCCAACAATTGGAAGTGGCTTGGAAGAGCCCTTCTTGTACCAAATACAACCATTCAAAACATCCAAGTTGAAAACAGCTCAGAGAACGAAAGATCTTATCAAGTCCTCATCCATTGGGAGCAAACCGTGGGCCACAAAGCGACTGTGCTTGAACTGATAAAAGCAATTGAAGAGGTTGGCGACGTTCCAACTTTGGAGGCATTTGAGCAACACCTTGGTGATCGTCACGTTAATGCAGCCGATCCTGGTTCCTTTCAGTAGGCTTTTTTCCTCTCCACACAGACTTCTAGATTAGAAAGCATAAGTAACAAAATTTTTCTCGTTATCTCTTTTTTCGCCACCGCGTACCCTGAACTTTTAGCAATCCCATGTGAGAATCACCAGGATGCTCCTAGAACATTTTGAAGTTAACCCTTGCGGCCAAGTAAGAAAATTCTCAGTTTAGATTGGAATGACCTCTTCTCTGCCCACCTTTCTCCTTGTCTGTCTGTCTGTCGAGTGACATGCAGAAAGAGGGACTACCCTCACTAGGAGAAGCACACCACACAATCAACTGCGGCGTACAGTCGTGAGAAAAGCAAAATTGGTTTTGGCTTTTTTTTTCTGATAAAAACAGATAATTTCAAGGATTCAGGCATAATTTGAGATTTTTAATGAAGGCCGACAGCGCATATTATTATCTTTATTCACTGAAACTTCCCCAACTTTCTCATAAAGTAGATAAGAATATGGCGGAGAATGATTTAAAACTATTGTATTCGTTGTTAGGACTTAGGACTTAAATGGAACAGAAACATAATAACTTTTTTGAATTCTTGGAATGTTTAATACTGGCAGAGTAAAAGACGCGATTGGAACAAAAACTGCTAGGAAATTCGAGACAAATCTTCCTAGATGTCTTTCTAGAGAATTTGTCAATAGGTAAGAGCGAAATATTGAGACACATTTCATTTCTGATCTAAGGAAAGTTATTTTTCTAAACCTTTTGGATACCATTCAAAGCCTTCTTGTTGTCTTATTCCTTGTTTAGACAATTTAACAGTAAGTTTTGCCGGAATTTCCTCTCATTTTTTACGTATGTTGTCAGTCTAAGTGCAAGATTAAAAAAAAAAAAAAAAAAAAAGAAAAGAAAAGGCGCGTAAAAAAGCTTTTAGAAACATGCTTTGAGTAAAACATGCCATACGCAATCCTTACCTTACCGAATTTCCCGGGCAAAAATTATTACCCAACACGAAAAGAAAAACTGAGATTGAAATAGGTTGATTGTAAAATGGAAACTACAATAGATGACGGTGAATTATCATAAAGGGGCTTCCCTTTCATTTCCAAACATGTCTTTAACCCTTTAACTCCCAGAAATGATTAAAATGTAACTACTTCCTATAATAGCCATTTATTATCCAGCAAACAGGTAATGAGAATACTCAAACTTATCAGTTTAAGGTTGTTTTCTTCATCTTACACCAGATTCTCGAAACTAAGATAAAGGAAATATATAGCAGCTAGAGGGGAGAATTAACAATCAGATCTTGGGAGTTCAAGGGTTAGAGGAAGTTTTAAGTTTATTTTTATTTTTTATTACAAAATGTGCTTTGGAGATCAAATGAAGTTATGCTTTTTATTATTATTATTATTATTATTATTATTATTATTTTATGGATACGGTGTCTTAATAAATAGATCAATTTCCGAGTGCACAAAATATCGTGCACTATGATGATGCTCCTCCCTCTCAGTTTTCTGCGGAAAAATTTAGCCAAGAAATTATTCTGAACAGATGTCATTTTTTTTACTTAATGGCAATCTATTGTTTTCAAATCAGCCGATTGTCTTGCAAATGTCAATGTTATGTGTATAGGAATCAAAACACTGGCTGAGCTACAAAATTTAAATATCTTACGCCAATTCATGTGCAACGCAGAGGACATAGAGTCGGAAGTTATCGACACGAAACCGGCCTTGATCGTCAGCCATTTTAAACTTTTAAGGAAAGGATTTGCTAATACCGAATTCAGGTTCTATTCAGAACATTCTGAGACTGAATGGTGGCTGAGGAAGTCTGAGGTAAATATTGAATTTGCAGGATGATTTCACAAAAAATCCCGCAAAATTTTGAATTTTGATCAAGCCATGGAAAATGAAGAAATTACCGCGAGCGAATTTTTGTAAATTACTTCAATGTTTTTCTCTATAAACGACATTTGAAAGCACAAGGAAATTTTGTGGTATTTAATTTTGTTTTGGATACCACACCGTTACGGAAAATCTCCCTGGTTCGACTTTAGAAATCGGCCCACAATCTCATCGAACAGAAAATTTACAAACTATCATTATTAGCTTGTTTTTAAATCAATGAACCCAGGAAAATTTTATTTTTAGCAAAAGGGATGAATTGTTGAATGAAATTTTCAAGCCCGTTCATTGTTAGGGATATCTTGCATCGAAATGATAAGGATTGTGCAGCAAAGGGACTTTTTTTAGCGAAACTCTTGATAAATTCTGTTGTAGGAAGACACGTAAATTACATGAATTAGCCCTTTGATTTCGAGTTGAGTTTCGAAGTGCGGATTGAAACCGAACGGTATTATCATTAACTGCTTTATTGTTTTTAGCATTGCCAGTTAAAGTATGACAGCCCCTTTCGTAACTGTTTGTTTTGAAAATCGTATTATTCAACTTTTTGTCAAGGTAAAATAAAACTTGTCTTGTCACACAGGTCGTCAATCCTCGCCCTATGGAATGCCATCCCCTCTTTAATCAAATGTCAATAATAAATAGTGTGTTTGTAAAACAAAATTTTAGATAAAGCAAACGTCAAAATCTGAAAATTATTACGTATCCTATGGCTGGTTGTATAAGATATATTCCGTGATCACGAGTAAACCACTCATGTCAAACTTTATACGAAAATGCAAACCCTGTCACGCATTCTACACATTTGCTGCACATTTTTCCACATTACAATCATCTGCATCTTTAATTTAAGTTTTTTGGAAAAATTTCAAGTCGCCTTATTGACCAAGTTTTCTCTCTCAGGAAAAGATCAACTTCGTTCTCAAGGAACAATTTTAATCCAGTTCTGTTCCTTGGGAGTGGAAAAAATTCCGTTCGGTTTTTCCAATTCTCTTCCACCGACCGGATGCCATGGGCTACAGGCCAAACGGAAGTGATCCCGACTTCCTAGTTCCCAGTTTTTTTCGTAAAGTCGTAAATGAAAAGGATTGGGAACATCCGCAAATTCTCTGAAAACACGTGCCCCAGAGTTCTTAGAAATTGACAATGAAGGACCAATATTCCTGTGTAAGAAATACGTCGAACACCTACTCTTTCCTTCGGTGTTTTACCCGGATCAAAGATGCCATTTGCCGACAAAAATATGTCCTGTGCAAGGGCTGTTCACACCTGTGCGAAATGCAATCGGCGATTCATGGGAAAGGAATCTAAAGAGAGTTTTATACAGCATTTAGAACACAGTTCAAAACATCAGAACACCGAAGCTGGCGTGCCAGAAAGCTGCGGTCATTGTGTTCGTTCCTTTTCGAGCACGAGTGCGTTACTCCAGCACCTGGAAAACAATCGCCACCATTTGAAAGATTTACACCACGCCGCTTGCACGGGAAAATTTCAACTCGTTGAGCAATTAATGAGAACTGAAGCCGCAAATTGTCCCGGCGATTCTCATCGCCCGTCAAAACCTCAGACGGGCTACACGCCAATGCATTGTGCAGCCTTCGGTGGACATGATGAGTGCTTAAAAATTATGCTTAGCTGGCCCGATGGAGACCCAAATGTCGTTGATCCTGCCGATGGCCGAACTCCTGTTCACCTCGCAGCTTGGAAAGGACATGGCGTTTGTCTCAAGTTACTGCTTAGGAAGGGTGGAAGGCTACGTGAACGTGATTTCAGTGGAAAAACACCGATTTCTTTAGCCAGAGATCCATCTTGTTTGTCTTTAATTGTTTATTATTTAGCTGGTAAGTACGATGTTTAATGTTAAGCTTAATCTTAACCACCGTTGATTTTCGCTTGTTTATTATTCAGTCAGACCCGGGTCATATATTGATGGAGGAAGAAATTATAACAACAGAAGCTTTACGAAGCTACAAGAATTCCTTGCGAGTTTTCCATTGGCGAATTAACCCCTCTCATGTATGTACAGTATGTATGTAAGATTATCTGGAAAGAGTAATACATGCATAGACCGGCCCGAAATTGGATTTGATTGAAGCACGCGTATACTATTCAAAAAAACAAAAAAGTTTCTCAGTAAAAAAATTATTAAACGATTTGTAATTATCATTAAAGTTCCCTACCAATGTCTGTTTCGAAAACTGCAGTAAAAAGGATAGGTCACCATGCTTACTTAAGGAGGCTCTATGGAGTTTTTGCTGAATGTTGACGCGCTCGTCAGTGGTAATTTGGCTTTGCCTTTGATTTTCTTCAACTTGCTTTGGTAAAATCTCTCAAAATTTTCACAGTTTTGAAAATCGACCTGCAGATCATCTCAAAGCCGAAAAATATAGGGGTCATAATGGCAGTTTCCTCGCTATTTGCAATTTCGTGTTCTATCCCTCTATCTTAAATTTGGTCTTATGAATTTTTTATTATCAGCAGGCATTGGGAAGGGTAAAAATATGTTTAGCGGTCCAGCTAATCTAAAGAAATTCCGCCGAAGGAAACGCGATAAATCTTACTCGAAAGATCCCTATTTTCTTTGTCGCAAAACGTTACGTAATGGAATAGAACTTCGCCGCGATCGGTATCTGAGCAAGTGTAGACTTACGAATCTGTCGCCCGCTAATTTGGAAATCTTTCCCACGGTGTTTTCTTTTCGGTTGACCTCTTTTTCAGGCGTAGAAAGTCTATGAATATTACGGGTGCAGTTGCTGGAAACCCTAGATTCCATCACATAAAAACTGTATTGTGTTAAACTGTTTTTAACACACCTTTTCAGATAACAATCGTGCGATCGTATCGAGCCGCCATGTTTGTTTTGCATGTTGACACTTTTAAAGATCGTGTTATGTTCGTACTCAGATCTCGCGCGGTCAAAAAAACCCTTTGGAGCCTCCCTAAGAGAAATGACAGGGCCAATCTTACCCCATTGATGGCTGTGTTAGTACCAATCACGCGTGTTATATCATCGGCTACGGTACATTTAATTTAAAACTTGAAAAAAAAAACTTGATAGGTAGAAGGTCTCGAGCGTATGGAACAATGTAACATATAATTTGTGGAAAAATCATGCAATTTCAAAACGTTCATCAAGTAGTTTCTGTCAAGGTCCTAATTTGAATCCTTGAGCAACAAGCTTCGTGCACACTTTTAGCTACATCTTTTTTTCCCTCTGATGATTTTTTTATTCATTTTTCCAATTCAAAAGGTGAACTCTGTGTACCGAATTTATGCAAAAGAAATGTAGACCATTGTGTTCATTCAAGACCATAAGACCATCATTCGTCGATTGAAACACAATATTACAATGTCATCAAAATGTGCACGCTTATTCGCCTGATTACATGATTTTTTTTACAACAAAAAAAGTTTTGAAATGATCAGTGTTTGGTCTTTTACAGAGACGGAATACAGGCTGGATGTGGAAGGATCAATTGAACTTGTATGGAAGAGTCTTTGCGGGGTAAGCAGTCCAATAGTTTCCTCGCCAGTCATGGAACTCCAAGACCCATGCCATGGTGCGGTGATCAGTCAATCCAACAATGAAGGTAAAGTTCACTACAACAACAATAAAATTATGTCTTTTTTATCAGGATGATTACTGCTATAAAAAAGAATCCATATTCCAGCTTTCCCTCTCACTGTGTAGACATTTGGGGTTTAGGCCTGTCCCGGTTGTCCTCGGCAACTTTTGAACAACCTTTAACATTCGGAGCAACATAGTTTTGAGGGGCTAGCTAGCATTAGCAATTTTTGCCTTTCTGAGCAATTTTAAAGCAAAATATAGGTATAGAGTGCACATCAAATACGACAAAGTCAACAATTTCATGAAAACATTCAATAGATATATGGTTTTGACTCTGAGAATGCAATCAATAGATCTAATTACATTCAAGCGTGTGTTTTTTCCTGCTAGGCTTAGGAGTATCCTTAAATTTTGCCCATATCTGCGAGAAACTCTTTAAAGATAAGTTTCAAGCTATCTTTCTTGAACTATGTTAGCTTTTATCACGAGAAATGAAAAATAAAGCTTTTAATTAACGTTTATATCAAAATTTCAAGAAATTTAAGAAGTAACTTTTTTAACTTTTGCAATTTTTTTCAAGTTTTTAGCAGTCTAGCTTGCACCTTTCCAGCATTTTACAAACACAATTGAGATAGGCCTAGTGGGGTCCAGCTTTTCCATTACCTACCAAGTGCAATTTTTACCAAAAAAAATTCTTGTCTAAAAAGCAACCCCTCCTATTGCTGAAGCTGGACCATTTGAGGCCTAACCATTAATATCTGAAATAAAGTTACTGACTCAGAATTTAACATTGTTCACATTGATTATGCATATCAAGTACGGTTGGGAATCAAAGACCGTGCTTGACCACAGTCAAAATAAATGAGTGATGACTGGTCCAATGATTAAAAATTATCTCGCCAATATCTTATTGTTTATTATTGTTATTGTTGTTGTTGTTGTTGTTATTGGGGAATATGACCTGGCGTGAAATGTGTAGGCTTTTAGAACAAAGCTAATGATTAATAAATGATTTTACGCATTTTAACTAATGCAGAATTTTCCAATGAACCATATGAAGTCCTTGCAAGGGGTGAGTTGGCAGTTGAAATATTCAATCAGGCACTACGTGAGGGAAAAGCACGCATATCTCGCATGCAGCTCACTGTCATAGGGAATGTAGGGGTCGGAAAGACCAGCCTTGTACGTTCTCTCAGTGGGGAGGAGTTTGAAGAAGAAAGAAAAGAAACTCATGGAATTGACACTTCCATGGTCGAGAAGACAGAATTAGACGTGTCGTGGCATGCCGCAGACCCGAACAAGTCCCAGGTGGATGAAATTTTAGTAGATCAAGTTTGTCAAGGAATTCAACGTTCCCCAAGGGTGGGCCATCCTTGTCCTATTCGAGGGAGACGGCTGACTCATTCTCACCAAGGACCGTCCTTTTTGCCAAGAGGGCAACATCCTTCTTACGTAAGGCGACTTCGTAGCATAGAAGGTCCATCCACTTCGGGGAGCACCAGTGCAAGCAACGGGGAGCAGACAAGCTTAGCGACAGAATCACCTGCCTCATTGCACAGTCTTACTCATGAAAGGAGGTCTTCACGTGAGATACCAATCGAAGAGATCATGCGAAGGCTTAGTCTGAATTCGGAAACGTCTTTGGGTGAGAACGAAAAGAAGTACGCTAAGATCAGCATTTGGGACTTTGCTGGCCATTCTCTGTACGAAGCTATGCATCATGTTTTCCTAAACAGGCGTTCCTTTTACCTTGCTGTGCTAAATTTGGCTCGGCTGTGTAACCTTGACAGTGCCAACCAAGTTTTAGAAGAGATTAATTATTGGCTCAATTCCATACGCGTGCATGCTCCTCACACGACTCCTGTGTTCCTAGTGGGAACACACAGCGGCGAGGTGAGCGAGCAAGACAAGGCAACAGCAGAGAAGACGCTTTATGAAAAATTAACTGAGAAGTTTGGTCAACAGCTTGTAAAAAGCAAGGAAAACAGTTTTCTCTTTCCAGTAGAAAACACCCTTGGTGGCGAAGATCCCGGTGCAGGGGCCTTAAAGAAGGCCATCGAAAATGAAGCAACACGCCTGAGTAAAATGGATGAGGAGTTTCCCCTATCGTGGCTTGATTTTGAGGAGGAAATTCTGAAGTGCAGAGAGGACCAAGACTTCCCGCCATGTGTCCGTAAGTCCGACCTAAAACAGATGCTGGAGCAGAGTACATCCCGTAATATCGATGATAGAGAGTTTGGAAGCATGCTGCAGTTCTATCACGACAGTGGTGTGATCATCCTGCCAGGTCAGTAAAAAGTCTTAATTTTAATTTTTCTTATTAATCTTGTCCCACAAAATATCATGCAAACGATTTAATTGATATTTATGTCAAGTTCTTGAGAGAAATCCCCTCAAAAAATAGAACCGCATTTTCTGAATTTCACAAGCATAAACTTAGGCTGTTATGTTAAGGCCAGCCATTGACGCGGCTAATTTATTTCCAAAAAAGTAGGTTGTAATTCAAACCCTAAGTCATACTTTTATATTCCCCTCAGCTCGACTAGAATAATAATTTAGAATTTATTTTCAGAAGAGCTAATTGGACCAAAGACACACCACTCCGACTTAAACGATGTAGTGGTAGTCAATCCACAGTATCTCGTTGACGTCATGACCCGCCTACACGATATTTCCGACCACCTGAATATTGATCGTGAACATCAGAGTCAGTGGGAGATGCTGCAAGAGCAAGGAGTAGCCAACTTCAAACTTTTGGAGTATCTTTGGAAAGACTTCAAAAGCCCTGCCACTCAGCTTGTTGGTATCTTGGAAGCTTGTGGTATGCTGTGCCCAATCTCTTCTTCTGTAGAGGATGAAGACCGTGAAGACGGTACTAAACCAGTTAAAGGTGATGAGAATGAATCAGAGATCAGCAAATACATCGTACCATTTCATCTAAAGGATAAATGCTTGAAAGGAAAGTGGAATAAGCTTTGTCGGAAAAGATGGACTGAAATTTGTACCTCGGACAAAGTTTTAATGTTTGATTTCCGTAGTTTCCTGCCTCCTGCACTCTTTCACTACTTCATTGTTCGCACTGGCTCTAGAAGCCAATCCAGTAATGGTATGAGACCGATCATAGCCAAAAGGATGGCCATATTCTCATTTGGAGACAGTTTCTTCATTCTTACAGAGATGTGTCAGAAACACAACCAAATTCGAATTAGGGCCCGGTAAGTGCTCTTTTCAACTTGATGAAGGTGGATCCCTAATACCCTATTTAGGACTAATATCCCATCCAGTAGGAAAAGCATTACTTTTAGTCTCCAACCTTACAGCATCATCTCCAGTAATTGAGAGCGTTAGTGTCGTATGAAGACTTTTAATTTGACGAATTGTTCTTATTAACAGGGTGGTGGCATAATAAGTTCTTCTGTGTCATGTTCATTTGCATCATTTAATCGTTCTCTTGAGGACGTTTTCTGTTTCTCGGGAAATATGAGTTTTTGGCTAAACTTTTCGATGTTAGAAAAGGTCTCCTTCAATCTAAGCCACCGGGATAAATGGTAGTTCCTGGTGTATAATTCTGTCTTCTTTCATTTCTCCTACAGGCACAAAAATACCAAAAAGCCTCATGAGTTGTTTAACATCTTGATGTCGATAATGACAGACATCTGCCAGCGCCAGTTCCGATTTCTCAAGTTCAGTTTCGGACCTACCTGTCCCAACCCACGTTGCCCCGGGTCATCGAGTGAAGGTACAGTTCTTCCAGTGGACACCTCTTCTGACGAAAGTGATGATGGCGACGATGATGAGGCCGAGTGTGGTGAGCGGGAGTCCTCCGTCGACTCCTCAACCGAAAGTGTTCGTCATCACGTAATTTACATAGACCCGGCTGTCGCATCAAGGCCTTTGTGGTGTAACTCCACACCAGTCCATGAATTCGAAGAAATCAAACAGTGGCTTGTTGAGGCAAGGCAATGTTTAAAAGAAATGCTCCGTTGAATTCTTCTCCCTGAAGCTATCCTTGTTGTTACCTACTGATCGCTGTTATAGCCCTAAAGTTTATTCTTTTTCTTTCCTTAGCCACAAAATACCGTTTCCAAGGTCCCAGAAGACTCTCCTTGCTATTCAAGTAAGTCAATACCTTACTAAGACCAAGTAATTCTCTTACTTATGCTTCACTCCTGCTTGCGTGCCAAGTTGATTTCGTAAATGCAATTCTAATTCAAAATATCAGGGGGTACCTATTGTACCTCTGCCGATTTGTGTTTGAATTTTTTTAAATTTCTGTGATCTCAGAACCAGTTGAGCCTTGCTGCCTGGCTTTAGTCGCTAAAGAACTGGCTTATAAATGGAAGTGGCTTGGAAGGTCTCTCTCGGTAGCAGACACAGTCATTGAGACTATTCAGACTGAAAATCATTCAGAGGAAGAGAGAGCTTATCAAGTCCTCACCCGATGGAGTCGAACCATGGGATCCAAAGGTACAGTGCATGAGCTGATGAAAGCGATCGAAGAAATTGGCGACGTTCCACCTTTGGAGGCATTTGATCGACACCTTGGAGATCGTCATGTCGAGGCAGCTAAGCCTATTAACTAGTTATTCCGCTGGACTCTCGAAGGAATTCGAAATATTAATTGAAATTTTTTTGAAAATGGAGTCGTAAATAAGGCCGTTTGTCTTTTTTCTCTCGGTTTTGTTGGTAAGCACGTGCCAACAAATCTTACGTAAAGAAATTATTCTTGTGCTCGAAAATTTTGAAATTAACTCTTCAATAAGATAAAGCTAATTTTATGTCAGTGCCAGGTCGTAAGTATTCACATGAGTAAAACCGATACGGTTAAAATATAATTTTCAATTCAAATTGTTTGATTTTGCTAACAACATTGCTTTAATTTCAACTTCCTTGGACCTTTTGGCGCTCAATTTGAACTTTTTTCTCGGTGCACAATCAGTTGACTTACTCTTAGCCGATGGGCATGCTTAATTCGTTTTCATTTACATGCATATTTTAAGAAACGACCAGCCTACCACGTCCGTCTGTATAGTAGCGATAAAATATTGCGGTTAATTATCGCAGCGAATGCATCAGTAATGAAGAATACTCGTTCTCATTTTCCCACCATGCATGTTCATTCAGGGAATGAACATGCATGGAGTTGACAAGGTTGGCAAATTTGATAGTAGGCTGGTGATAGTTTACATAATAACGTACATGAAAAAATAACGCGCTTCAGATTGGCTGGAAATGAGTGCATTCTTGTGTAACGCGAATACAAAGTTGTAACACGAGTGCAAATTACAAATAGCGCGCGCGCCCTTGCAAAATTTCGTCTGTCTTGACTTTCTACGATGTTTTTTCATGTACATTAATTATTAACAGGTAATAATATGATTTCGAGTAAAATTTGGTGTAATAAGAACTTGTAAATTTTTCAAAGACTACAAAATTGCACTTGCCTTATGTGCTTATGCAATTTTGATATCTTTGAAAAAATTAACTCGTGCTTATTACACCAAATTGCACTCGAAATCATGTTATTACCCATACTAAATCTTATATGAGGCGTGCTCTCAATAGACACAATGATGAACATAAAACTGAACCCAAAACAAAAATGAAGTAAAAGAAAGAGAAGGCAGAGTTCGAGATTTTATCTGTTCGAAGAAAGAAGACTTTATTTCTGTATGGAATAATCTTTAAAGGAAAATTCAAGAACAAAAATTACATAGAAATGGTATCTCTATCAAATCAGAGGAATAGTGCAGTGTATTTCAAGGTATAATTTTAATACAACCATTTCGATCTTAATTTTACACGTAGCATGATTGGGTAGTTAATTTAGCCCTGGAAATTCAAACTTTCAGTAAGGTGAAGATAGGATATGGTATGTCCAACTTAGTGTGTGCCTCTAAATAGTATTTTTTTTTGTTCGGGCTATATGACCCTATAAAGAAAGGGTCAAACAGCCCTTCCCCCACCTGGCATTCGTCATCAGACTGGGTAATGAACAATTACAAAATATATTTTAATTTAAGGACCGATATTGTGGAATTCATTACTGGTAATGAGTTGTAATCGGACATGCCACGTGAAATCTTTACCTTGCGGAAGGTTTGCAATTGCAAAATTCACTATACGACCAAGGCCGTGTACAAAATTAAAATCGAAATAGTTTTATTGTAAAATGAAATAAAAAAAACAATTATACCAATAAATTATTATAGAGTGGCCTACGTTTAGTATCTTTAACAAAGGACCTCTTAGGAACCTGTCACTAGGGACCTGTTAGGAACCTGTTATTAAGGACCTGTCAGGGACCTCTTGTTATTTATCGCCTGGGAGGAGGGGGGGGTGAGAGAATTTTGTTTGAATCACGATAAAGTCTACCTGATCCCCCAATAAGGCTGCTTAACATTCTATTGATCCCCCAATCACTGGCTGTCAATTCTCTATAGTCCCCCTTTTCATTCGACGATCCCGCTCCCCCCTCCGTTCTCATTGAAAGCCATGTAATACCCCAAAAATCCTCCGACATCCCCCACCCCCTCCCGGAGAGAAATAATAACTGGTGCCCCTACCATTCATTTCCGAATATGTCTTTAAAGTATGTTTCGCGATTTATCTTTTTTTTATGTTTTCATTTTTTCATTGAGTATAAATTTGTACCTAGGCTCTGTCGTAGATCAAAAGTAGTTGAATTTCTTATTTTATGAATACATTGTCTGAAAAGCTACATTGTGTTCTGAATGCATGAAATATCTTTCACAGTGGTGATGCTCCCCTTACTAGTTTTGAATAGCATCCCAGTGCTCTGCGAAAAAATTTAGTCTTTAAATTATTCTGAACAGATGTTATCCGCCGACTTTTTGGCAATCTATTGTTTGGAGAGAATACTTTGATTGTTTCCAAATCGGCTGATTGTCTTGCAAAGATTACTCATAAGTGTATAGGAATCGAAGCATCGGTCAGGCTACAAAATTTAAATATCTTACGCCAATTTGTATGCAACGAAGTTACGCAGAAAAACCACTGACCGTTAGCCAGTCGATTCTTACCTTTAGAGCTGGAGACAACGCCAAAATATCTGTTTGATGGCATATGGCGATGTGTCCCAGAATGTGTTGGAAATTATTTTTGTTAGCCGAAGGTAGGTGAATAACAAGACGGCATGTCTGCTCCTGTTTTATTATAGGGATTTCTTTGTATCTTCAGCAACTCGCAGTGTTTTCCTGTATAACTGCTACCTCATGACATAGATTCTGCAAAGTCGTTTACAAATTGATTTAAGCGTGGAAGGAAAGGACTTCCTTAGGCATAATCCAGGTCCTGTACAGAGACTGAACGGTGGCTAAGTAAGTCTGAGGTAAATATAGGACTCGCTTGATGATTTCTCAAAGATTCCCGAAAAATTTTGAATTTGGATAAGACCATGAAAAATGTAGAAGCTAATTTTTGAAATTATTTTAATGGTTGTTCGTTGTAAAAGACATTTGAATACACAAGGAAATTTTGTCGTATTCAATTTTTTTTCGGATATTACACCGTTCTGGAAAATCCCCTCGGTTCAACTTTAAAAATCGGCCCCATAATCTCATCGGGAAAAGTTTTTGACAGGTTCAGAACATTTACAAACTATCATTATTACCTTTTTTAAGTCAGTGAACCTAGGAAGAATTTATTTTTAGCTTAAAGCATAAATTGTTTATTGAAGTTTTCCAGCCCACTCATTGTCGGATCACTAATGTCATCGAGTCAGTTTTGAAGGATAGCAAACTTCAATAACAGATGTCATAATTATAATGTGTAGGCCCGCTGAGTATACGTATATTGAATGTCAAAACAATCCTGCTTTTAAGTTTGACCTGTTTGCAGGTGTCGAGATACATCTGAATATTCTGTGCAGCCATAAAACATGAAGAAGAAATCCAGCTATTACTTTAGGGGATTTCGAAATGACTAGTTGAAACAAAGAGATGATTGGGCAAATTAGTGTTGCAAAAGTCGACGGCTCAAAAGACCGCGGATTTGGTTTAATTAGTCACTTGTAAGTCTTGTTTTTGCCAAACAAACATGTTTTAAAACATGCTGAGGGGCAGTGAAAATTCGAAATTGCTGTAGGAAATTCCTCCAATGTTACGGTTTATCATCTGTTACAATCTGTAGCCAGGTACTAAGCAAATTCCGTGTAAATCGCTCTAATTGCACTTAGAATGCCTCGCAGCTTCACCATAAATCGTGAATGGAGGCTCAGTGAATGATCTTCAATTAAGCTTTCAACGTTTTTCCTGCGTAATGGAATATCATTAAACTACAGCTGGTGGTCTAGTAGAGTTTTCTAACCTACGGACTCTCGCTCTTTAAACCCGTGCGCTAACAAGTGTTCCAACCAATTGCTTTGCACGAACTGTTTTACTTAAGTCAATGCAACGCAGAAAGTCACATTTATCCGGGTATCAAACACTTTTTTTTCTCAGTTTTACCAGTTTTAACACAAGGCCGTCAAAATCAAAGCGATGTATCACACATAAAAACATCAATATCACCATCTCCAACAATAACGGCGCCAACGTCATCAATCGCATCGCCAATTAAAGACGACGAAGATTTAAACGCAAACCGAGAAGGAAACATTGTAAGTCCACATGAGTTTAAAGGGCGATTTGCAATCACAAACATCGATTACAAACCCCAATATGCAAATGTCAAAAGTGACGAGTACAAAACTCTCAAAGACTCTCTCGAGAAAGCATTGGACAGCTCGTTAGAAAATACTGTTCCTGGTTATATCATGTGTGCAGTGCGCTGGTTCTATAAAGGAAGTGTGATCACAGACTTTGTTGTGTTTGTGAATGGAAATGAAAATGTCTCCCCTGAAGAGTTACAAAAGGCGATTGTCTCAGCTTCGTCCACGGGTTCGCTGGCAAATTTTAAGTTGAAGAATGTTGTTATAGAGTCACCGCAGGACCAAAGAAGTGGAGAAAATGAGGACAACAAAGGGTCTATGATCATGATCGAGCTGTGGATGATAATTACTTTCGGTGGTATAGTGATTGTTATTGTTCTTCTCTTCTTCATTCTTGGTCTTTTGGTAAGTAAAGGATGAGAGAGATCGATAATTTTTTTTTATCAGCGTTTATTATAATAATGTATCAACCCTTTTACTCCATGATCTCATAAATAATTCTCCTTACTGCCTGCCTTACAGCTCTTATGATATTAGTTTAGAGAATTTGATATTGGATGCACAACCTAATCGACCCAATCCGGATAAATTGGCTCCTGGATATGGAATTTTTCGACAGGGCTCTCCAAAGTGGATGGATACGGAAGCGCTAACTTTGCGTTTAAAAGTGAGAGGAAAGCACTTTGAAAAAATTTTTTTTAAACTTTCTTCTGTCCCTTTAATTTTTTGGTGTGAAAATTACGCCTATATCATACAAACTATCAAGGGTGTATCAAAACGATTCTGCCTCCGTTGTATGCAGTGTAGATTGGTTGTATGGACGCAAGGTCTGATACAACAGCACGAAAGCAATAATTTTCATTCCACTTGTTATAATATAATTTTATGATACCCAGCCAATTTCGTTGCGACAACGCCTCTAAAATCCTCATCACTACCACTTCGATCTTTGAACAAACTTGTTTTAGATAAGAAACAGATTGTTGAAGAAAGCCCTAACTCAAGAGAGACGTGTCACTGAAGACCTAAGACACCAACAACAGTTGCAGCAAGAGGGGACAAGGGAAACGTTGTCCATTGTGGCTGCGTCATCTACTGATGAACTTACGACCATGCTTGATAGCAAAAAGGAAGTAAAGGTGTAGTAACCTTTATCCGTGTGATTTTTGTCCCTAAAGAAGGAGTGACACATTCCTTGCCCTGGTGCTAGCATTCCTTTGTGTGCCTTCTGGTGGCCCCGCCTTCTTAAGAAACAGTACATTAAGGAAATTAGTTTTCTTCCGTTCTGGGCGTGCTAAAGTATGAGAATAAGTCTTAAGGCGGAGAGGAAAAATGAGTATAAAACTGTACCAAAGCATTCGTGATCTTCTCAAGTACTTTGGATTTCAAAGGAATTACAAGATAATAAACCATTTTTTCCCGAGAGTGCCTGATAATCACGCTTCATAAAATGAGGAGCAAAATATTGCATGTAGTAAAGTAACAAAAGTGTGTATTGCTCCCTTAATAATTTTATCCTAATCCCCGAGCGGTTTGTCGTTAATCATCAGAAATACCAGAGTCGATCATTTTCCATCGGCACCTCAAGGTCAGCGGAAAGACTCATGGAGCTCTTGAAAGATTCTGATCAGGTGAAAACTGCCACAGGCGAACGAGCAGAACGTAACTCATCTACAGTTTTTTCAGGATCGGCTACTGTTCCCAGTGTCATATCAAACGTTTCAGCCCATGAGGTATGTAAAGTTCATATCAGTCGTAGGGCTGGTGGGTGCACTTAAACCTTTTAATCCCTTAAAGTGACTTGAGTTCTAATTTCTCCTCACAGTATCACTGTTGAATCAAATGTAAAGGTCATGAGAATAAAGTAAGATCTCTAATTGAGGAAGCTCCTGTTTGTCGAACAAATTCTCCTCGTCAGTGCCATTGGAAACGTAAACAGAATAGTGTGGAGAAAATGCATATTGATGTTCGGGTGCAGTGCAAAGATTTTTCTGTCTTTTTTTGTCACTATCTTTCACCGATAGAATGCTTATGTTCTAAAAGATTGTTGTATGTCTCATACCAAAACGGGCTTTCTCGTGGTATTTGTGGAAGTTTTCCATCCTAAACTTGCGCCTCCGTTGTATAAGTTCCCGGATTCAGTCAATTGGTACATCACCCGAGTTTCATGAGGTGATAACTTGATTTCAAAGATTCGATCCTTTATTACTCGTTTCATTTTATCTTTTGTGGTAAATTATTTTTTGCGCCATTTTTCAGGGCGAATTCAGCACTTCAAGCTCCCTAATTGATGACGTCACGATGTCAGGAGACCACACCCATCCAAGAAAGGTTCCTTTTGCAATGAGCAAACCGTTAATTTTCATCAGCCCTCCCAAGGAAAACACAGTGTCGACTGCTAAAGAGGTAAAATAAATGTTATGAGTTAGACTTAACTAATTTTTTACCGTCCCAAGTTGGTCCCAAAATCAAACCAAATGCAATGGGTCTGAAACTATAGATTAAAATATCTGTTCTTAGGTGGGATGTGGAAAGGAATGATTCAGCTGTGATAAGGGTCCTGAATCCCGACTGTCATTATGTTGTGTTCTTGGGAGAAGCACTTTACTATTTCCGCTGAGCCTTTAACCCTTTACACACCAACATAATTGTGCTTATTCTCCATGAAACATTCATCAGCTATGAAACTGTAAGGAGATATTGAATGAAAGTCACTAGTAAGGGTTAAAAACTTAATGCGTACCTGTAATTTGCCAAGAACAACTTAACAAAACACTAAAATTAAGTCAAGAAGAGTAACAGCGCCTTTTGAAACTTCATATTACAGTACCAAGAAAAACTAGGCAGCTATGCGAGATCAGTCTAAAAACCCTTTCAATCCCAAGATCTCATTGGTAATTCTCCTTACTGTCTGCCATACAATTCTTATGATGTTAGTTCTGAGAATTTGGTATTGGGTCAACTAATAATCCCCTAACTTATATTACTCTTTATTCTCAACACTTGTCTATTTGATATTGTATTGATTTGGTAAGGAGAAATTTTGTCTTGGTCACTCATGGGAGTTGAATGGTTAAGCAGACTTTTTTTTATATATTTTCGTAGGATTGGCCTCAGGATGAAGAAACTCAGAAAGAAGGCGATGAATCTGAATTTACCAAATTAAAATATACTCCGGCGATACTTCAGCAAGTACAAGCGTTTGAACAAGGAACTATCAACACAAGCGACGAAGAAGAAAATGATAAAAACAAACTAATGAGAAGCGAGCCCAAAAAGCTGAGACATATTTCACTCAGCGCTACTGCATCACAACAAATGAAAATTTCCGAAGAGCGACGACGGAGAGAGCATGAGATTCGACCTTTAGGTGGAGTGATCAAGGTAGGTCTTCCTGCTTCCTAATCAGAAGTGGATATGAAAGGGGTTACGGTGCTGATACAATCACATTGGCCACGCTTAAAAATCCTATACCTTTATGACTCATAAAGGTATAGAAGTTCTTAGGTTGCGATTAAATCGCAGCCTATCACTTCGCGGTGATGGGCATCGTAGACCAACAGCTTTTCATTAAGTCGGGTAGAACAAAACCACCTTCTCATGGAGTCATATGCATGTATACATGAGTGCGTAATCAACTTCAGTCACACTATAATATGATATAACTTTTATTTTTTAATGTATAGCGTACTGAGGCATTGAAAGAAATTTTCTGGTTTGAAGTGTGCCATACATATGGTAAGATGTAAGTTCGGAAAATTACAATGAGGGGCAAAAGTCTTGGTGCTCTCTGCTACATTTTGAATTTTTTGTATAACCGTCGGTTATTTATCAACCTCTCTGCCTTATTTCAATGTTACCTGATGTAAACAGAATGGTTACTAATTTCCTACAACATTGCGAGGACTTTCAATGACGTATCGGAGATAAATTACAAGATTTCTGTTCATCATGTTGAGTGGAGGGTTGTTGGCCACCAAGTGAGGGAGGGGAGGGATGCCAACTTTTTTTGCCACTGAGTGTAGATCTGCAACGCATGATTACCTAGAATAAATATGTCTACTAATAACTGAAGTGTTGAAACGGCTTTAACGCTCCATCAATTAATCCGCATTTTTCCTGCGGAAACTGTACAGATACCAGGAAGTGGATTGAGTGGTGGAATTAATTTGAGCTTTTATGACATGTTAATAATGACAGCGTTTACCTTTTTTTTGCAGAGGTTTGCACTTCGCCCATCTGATACCGATAACAGTGCTACAGAATAATCTAACTGGTCTCGCTCCACGACTCGATAAGTGATAAACTCGTACTAAGTTTGACCAAAAGGAGCAGTGTAGGAATTGAAAAATAACGCATAAAATGGCGGTATGAAAACAAGTGTGACAAAATAAACGAGGCGTACTCAGCTTTCTAACAGGATGGCACTTATAATTCTCCTATCCAGAGGCATGCTTTTTGAAAATTAAGCATATTTTTTTGGATTCTCTTATCAAATACTCTTTTTTTTATTGAACACAGCATAAAGGATATTTCAATTCCGGCCACAATTGAATTTATCGCTGCAATTTAAAAGAATCCAGTTATGAAAGTGAGCCCATTTTCTATTTCTGGATAGCAGGCAAAGATTTGCTTCTCTAGAAAGCCCCTAACTTGCAAATTTGCTTTAATTTTGGTTGATGACCTGGCCGCACGAGTAAGGTGACTTTATGAGACATGCGCGAACCCACGGCCAGGTTACTAAAATGTTTTCAAAATGGCAGCGTTTTAGGAAAAATTTCAAGCATATTATTTGCACACAGTTTTTGAGGGTTATATGACTATTTGAAGTCTAAATTCGCGGTAAGTGGAAATTTTGTAAACATACTTTTTAATGGGACAGAAAAATAGTGTGGGTTTCATAAGTGTGCATCACAATTAAACCTAATATAAAACATTCAACATCACATCGAGAGTAACACCAGTCTTTAACTTTAATGATACGACCTACTCACATGACTACATTAATTTGATGAATATTTCCTCCGCTTACTATGATGATAGAGTTTTCTGTTTGTAAGATTCTCATACAAAAGAGAAAAAAAAGCAAGCAAACACTAACTGTGTACAAACAACCATGTTCCTCGTTTTACATTGACGTAATTATTTTCCTTGATGTTATAATAGTGATAATAATAATGATAATAACTCTCTGAGGGGCTCTTCAGGGCCAATACAATCTAATTTAAAACAAACATAGTGTGTCAATAAACATAGCGTTTAAAAATCCCAACTGACTAGAGACAGACTAGTTGACTATATACAATTGCAGCCACAGGGGGAGGGAGGGGGGAACTGAGAACAAATCCAGTGAGAAGCAGGGTGCAGGGCTTTAACTGGGACGACCAGATTACAAATCCCCCGCCCCAACTTATCGGCCACACTGCCTCCACATATACACTGGTAATGAGAACCAGCAGACAGCATACCGGCCGAGCTAAGAGCGGGAGCCTTTTTCTAAATCGATTTACGATGAAACAGAGACGCCAAATACAAATAAGCATAAAACCCCTGTTGGCTGGCATCCTTTTTACAAGCAATGTATTTCTTAATTAAAAAGAGTTTTTATAGCTGGTAAATAGGCCTAATATCTAAGAAACCTCTTTAGCCTTTCATAAAATCAATTATCATGTCTACAAAACTCATCGACCTTCATCCAAATTAACGAATATTTACATTTTATTATGGCCTTTGCCGAGGTTTTGTTGGTTTTAAACTCTTGAAGAACATACTGACAGATTCCTAGCATCAAACTGGCAACAGTGTAATGCACAGGACTGTACAAATTGGGATCGTGGGCTATTTCCGACACGCCCAAACCCTCCGTATGAAATGGTAGGTAAGTGCGAGGTCTTTGATGTGGACATGGTTTCCTATTCTATCCCAAAAGGAAAGATGTTGTTATAAGAAATATTTTGTCCTTAGCCTCATTTGAACGTTGAAAATCCGAAATGGTCTATCTATTATCAAATAACAGCGGAGATCCCGCACGCAGGGTATGCCTGTTTATTTCCTAAAGTTAATCTTAATTTAAGGTTTCAAATCCGTAGATGATTCATATTCCTAGATGAACATGCAACAGTAAATTGTTGTTTACAGAAATTACAGTCGTTTCGCCCCTACGACTCTTTCAGGTCACTTCGCTAACATTTTAGGTTATGTCATAACGTCTGTTTTTAGTTTTGTTTTCTTCCAAGTGGCGACAAATGAAATGTTGTACCGTGAACATACGGTCGATGAGAAGTTGCTCAAGTTCTGCCGATGGAACCGATCCGACAATAAACGTATTACAATACGTTATTAGCAAGGCGCTGCCCTGAGGCGTTGGCGTAACGACTCGTAGGCGAAATGACTGATCATCGTTTACATAGCAATTTATAATGTAAGCAATCTCTGTGAGTAGAACGTGTGTATATTGTTAAAACTGAGCCATAATAATCTCATGGAGCTTTTTCCACTATGCTGTGGCAGAAATGTCATGAAATGCTTAGAAAGCGCACCGCCTACTTTCCTACTCTAACTGAAGCCTCCGATCGAGAAAGACACCCAAATAGGGGAGTACCAACTCACTCCCGCCCCCCCTTTTCCCCCAACCGTTCTCTAAGAGATTAAGTTAGGATTCAGAAGATACTGGATTATCATATGAATTTAACACAACAATGCAATCCTCACTGCTAACAGGTGTGGTCTTGGTCTCCTCCTTCTGGATTTTCTCGGGGAGATTCTTAGCCCTGCTTCGTCTTTTTCGGTACATTTCAAATTTGACCTCGGGTGCGTGCTCTTTGATGTATTTCCAATTCTGACGGATAACCTGTCAAAATTTTATTCACCTGCGGTGAAAAAACTATAATATTCTAATTTCCAAATAAGCCGGAAGATATTCTTGACAGTTTCAAGTTTTAGTGAGGAAGTTGTGCCTCTCTTAAGGTCTCACATAAACTCTCCGAAATGTTATAAGTTCAAAATGACAGCGTTTACTCTAATGTCGCTCAGTTTGCTATTCTTACTTGGGACCTGCACTAAAAGTCCGCAAACAAACTGCATATAGAGAGTGGTCAACAAGCTCAGCTTCACGAATGTTTTATGCAATTTTGAGAGCAACTTCGACACGGGAAACCAACAGAAAAAGAAAGAAGGACAAAGATGGCTGGGATTGGAAAGGATTCACGTAGATTGACTAGAAAGGATTCTCCGATTGAGGAAAAAACAAATTTAGCGAGCGATTTCGAGCTGGGAATTTATGAATGAACTTACCACAATAAGGAAGAGTATCATCACTGCACAAATGGTTATCGCTGCCACCACAATCAAGCTTATTGTCAATTTGCTCCTCTGGTTCTCTTTATCCATCTCACTACTCTCAGTAGCAGTATTTCGTTTTTCGTGTATTCGCTTGGCATCAGGGAACGTCTTTTCATACGTGTCACTTTTTGTAAACGTTGTAAGTGTGTCTTGCAATTCTTTTCCTGTCGCGTTGGTGGCTGATGAAACCAAAAGATAGTACTCCACCTTCGCTAAGGTCCATCCGTCATTTGCTTTAGCGAGCGAAACGACCTCAAAATCCACGACGTCGTCTTTGTCTTGGTAGAATTCGTTAAGAGCATCTTCTATTGCTGTTTTTATTCTTCTGTACTCAGAATTGTTGTAATCAGCAAAGGGATCCTTCCATTCTACACCAGGCAACAGGAGGCTCATGTTCTGTCGAAGGTTCACGATCGACGCTTTTTCCATGCAAATGTCGAGGGCGTTGTCAAGTTCATTTTCGACTCTTTCTTTTCCAAGATCAGACTCAAATTCAAATTCGCAAAACGTTCCAGGGTTTCTGTGAATCTTCAAGAATTTTTTCACTTTAAAATCAGTAACGCCCGTTACGTTTTCAAGATCCTTTTTCAACAGACTTCTCACAGCCAAAGCCATTTCTTTATACTGCATGGTTTTCTTGTCCAAAGTAGTTTCGTTCCAAGTGATGTTTGTTCCATTGCATTTTACCTCAATTGTAATGCTTTGTTTTTCTGCAGGTTAGTTAAAACGATCGAAAAAGCTGGATCTTAGTAAAATTATTATCTTGTGACTTATAAATATACAATGAACCCACTATTTATTACACAAAACTGGCGCGTTTTATATAATTAAAGATTACATCAACAGATAACACAAAGGCTTTAGATGAGGTACAAACGCAAGACCAAAAAATAAAAAATGATCTTCATTTCGTCAGGGTATATATATTTTTTCTTATGCCGTCCATTTTTGCCACAAATTTATGGACACGAGAAGATTCCACATACAGACATGCTTTTAAAAAAAAACCCGTTTGGTTCATGGAATTCAAAATTTACATAACATAGTGTTTCAATATGTAACAGTCATAATAGAGTGAGAAAAGATTCAAAGAGTAGAATATTAATTTCCTAAAGTCAATCGAAAGCCTGTTTTCGACTGATGGTGAAACAAGTGATTCAATAACAAAGCCCTATTAATTATTAAGGCCCTTTTTCATTTCATTGACAAATTACCATAGGCCTAATTAAACACCTATTTGTGACTACGAAGAAAATAGTTAAAACAACTCACGCGATCGATTGAGTGAAAAAGTTTAATCTACTGGCGTCAGCCATAAAAACATGTCCTCAGGCAGTTTTTAAGTTTTTATTAAATTCGACAAGGGTAGCTCGAGGATACCTTCTTAAGTTACGATGTTAAGGTTGATTGGTAGAAGTTTCGAAATACTCCTCGTTGTAGGAAACTAACGGCTAGCGACGAAAAATTTTAATTTTTCTCACTCGCAGAATTAGCATCACCCCGGCAACAACTATGTCATTTAAAGATCAAAATGGAACTGGTCCAAGAAATCGTGTTACCGCTACATAACTTTTATTTTCGTTCCGTTTCTACTATGAACTAATTCAGAGTTGAAGAGAGCAAAGATGGCCTTCTATTCCCGCAGTCATGGCTGCAAGATAGACAAGGAAGGTTCCTATGTTTAATAAAATCCTCGTTAAGCCAAAGTTAGATCAAGATAATAATAATAATCGAGAGGTTGTTTTTGAAGTTTAACCAATGAATCCAATTCATTTGAATATCCCAATTATTACCCACCTAGTCAACCCTATTTTAATAACTGTTTGAAGACGTTGATGTCACTTTCAAGGATGGTTTTTTGTGTAATAGTTTGAATTAGTTTAGATCCATGTAATCATCAAGTTTTAAATCCCTTAGACATGTTACCGAGCGAAAGTTATTCGCCCAAGAGCTCATTTAACGGAGAGTTTAACGCGATGAATATACCGTACATAAAATAATAACAAAAATGCCTCTTCATCGAAACAGCCTGAAATTTACCGAGTTAATTCCAAGTTTTATCGAGGAACAGATATTTGAATTCAGCTACAAAATCGACCGTTGGTTTTCTTGGCAATAGCGGTTTTATAGTTAAATGGGAAAGCGAAAGTCTATCGAACGACGAATAGAACGTCAGAGTTATTGGAACGCCAGTACACCTTACCTGACATCCAAACTGTAGCTGCAAGCATGGTCATTATTACTGTGACATAGATTACAATTTTCAGCGATGCTTCCTTGGAAGCCATCACGAGGTTTTTCCGATAAAGCAGTTAAGGCGACAACTTGACCTGGGGATACAAATTTTGTGGACCCTACTTCAACTTGTTGAAGCTGCATCTGGTTACGTTTTGACAGTCTGAAGATGTTTTCCCCTCGGATTGCATAAAGTAGTTATTAACGATGCTAATAGATTTATGTGAAAGCTTTTGTTTTGAGACGTTTTCTCTTGTCGGGCCACGCAGATGTTTCATACCTTTATTTTTTTATTTAGTGTTTTCATCCTCCTTTCCTATCCAACATCTCACTCAGTTGGTTGAAAAAATGGTTGAGAAAGATATGGGTACCGGATGAACTCATTCGTGATCTCGCGTTACTCAAAGAAGATACTGTAATTAATTCTCTTAGAACTGTCTCGAAGAGTTTGTGAAGCATTGCAAAATTGTCTGTTTTTCAGCTGGAATTGGCTGATAATGTTTTCTCTGTGCTAATTATGAATGGCGCCCTTGTAACTAGTTTTAACAAAGGCTTTCGTTTATTTGTAATACTTGTATCTTTAACTTTTTTTCCCCTCAAACAAAAACATGACTGTTTATATTCATACTTTGCCTAAAAGCATCATCCCTTAGTTGGCAACTTTTTCGCCCAACTATCACACTTCGTCTCTAAGTTTTTACGGGCTCTTGCTTCATAATGTTTAATTTAAAAGTCTTTCGTATGTTTATAATACTTACTCCCCTAAGCTATTTCCTCCGCAAACCAAATTATGGCTTTTTATATTCATACTTTGCCTAAAATCTTTCATTCCTACGGGCTATTGTTTCATAATGTATGATTTCATATAGTCTTTCGTATGTTTGTAATGCTTGTGCCCTTAAGCTTTCTGCTCCTCAAACCAACACATGTCTGTTTACATTTATACTTGGCCTAAAAGTGTTCATCCCTTTGTTGAGCAATGTTCGCCCATCTATCACCGTAAGATCGTTAGCGCCTATATATTACACGCCTTAACGCGTGTAATTTATTCGAAATGCTCTCGCGGCTTCGGCGGTTTAAAATTCGTCGTCTTGGCAGGACCGTTATTCAGTTCGCTTTAATTCACTTGGAAACACAACTGCAGTATACAGTGCAGTTTATGTATCCATTTCCATATCTAGGTTTTGTTTCGCTTTCGGCGCGGGCTTTTCTTCAATGTAACGTTGGTTTATACGTATATTTCTTTCAGTAGTTTAACCGCACGCTACGCTAAGGTATCGCTCTACCGCAAGGTATCTTTGCACTGCTTGTCAAGTCAATACAGATTAAACGCGTATTAAAATGTCATTCCTGGTGTCAGCATCGAATCCGCTATGTTGGCAGTTATAATTACCTTCGCCATTTAGTTCTTTCGGGCTGCACGATTTAATAGTCTTTACTATACTTGTGCCTTTAAGCTTTAAGTCTATACTTTTGCCTTTAAGCTTTTTGTACCCCAAACCAAACCGATGACTTTTTATATTCCCACTTTACTTGAAAGTGTTCATCACTTTGTTCAGCAATTTTCGCCCAGATAACTAATTTCGGCTTTTATTTCTCTTTTATTTCTCTTTCGGGCTGCACGATTTAATAGTCTTTACTATACTTGTGCCTTTAAGCTTTAAGTCTATACTTGTGCCTTTAAGCTTTTTGTACCCCAAACCAAACCGATGACTTTTTATATTCCCACTTTACTTGAAAGTGTTCATCACTTTGTTCAGCAATTTTCGCCCAGATAACTAATTTCGGCTTTTATTTCTCACGGGCTTTTGTTTCATAATATATAATTTTATATGCGTGAGCTACATATCGACAACCTTAGGGCTAGGTCTTAAAATTGCAACTTCTTCTAGCTAAAAAAAAAATTAACTAATCGCTCAAAACATTTTTAATGCTGACAAAGATTTAGGAAAATGCATTTTTCTTACACAAAATCGTCTTCTTACTGTGTGACTTGGAATCAAAGGTTTCACATAAGAAATCATTCCATTTTACGGGAAAGGCCCGTGACTAATTTTAAGATGTCAGTGAATGTTTGATTGTCAAGTTTTAATCATCGTGGCCTGATAACAGTAATCATCCTAAAGGGCATCAGTTTGAGAGTCTATCTGTAAGTTGCAAGTTATTTAAAGGTGGAGAGTAAGCTCTACCTTACACTCAAGTTATGAGAGTTGGAGTCAATTGCAAATTCTGAAAGCATTTGACAAACTCTATCAGAAAATCTGTATAAACTTATTTTGGACTAAGAGCTGAAAAGGTTTCTACAACCCCATTCCTCTTTTCATAGTCGGATATTACCAGAATGCAATCTTGGGGACATAAAATTCTTCGTAACTTGACATTGAACGGGGAGGGGAAGCAGAAAAAATACCAATAGCAGACTTTTGTGACCCTTTTAACCAGGGTTGTTGTTTGCGTCTTGCGTGATGAAACGTCACTTTCAGGTGACGGTGAGGACGCGTTCTTATAACATGTCGATTTTCATCAGAACGCTTCAATTATAAATTATCGATTTGTTTCAGGTGTGACCCATTACAGAGTTTCTATGAGAGATTGAATAGCAAACAAAATTTTTTTACTGGAGTGGTTTGGACACTCTTCAAGATATAAATGACCTTCATTTATTTGTAAGAACACTTAATCAAAATAGTGTTCGTCATATAAGCGTCAGAGCTGAAAAACACGACCAAGCATGTCACGAAATTGCTTTTGATCGTAAATTAAAATGGCGGTGGTTTTGAAAACAGTCAACATGATGATATTCTCTGTCCACACAAGTTTTCATCACATCAGCAAATTTAGGCCGATTTCTACTGTGTAGACCTTCCCCTCTTCATTACAAATATCGACTTACCTGAAGCGCGATCTGGACAAACTGTATCTATGCAATGGAGATGCTAAAGTTTCTAACATGATCTCTATTTGTGCCCTAAGATGAAAATGTGTTGTTCTAACGATATTTCGTGCTCTCTCTCACAGGGATTTCTACAGCGAAAGTTTATCGTACATTTAAGCTAGATCGCAAAACTAAGCCACTTTTCAAACTTCATCGATTTTCCGCGTTAGCCTGGAAATGTTGGTGACACGTGTCGGCCTTTTTAAGCTCTGTCATCCCTAGCAAGGTTACTTGTTTTTCCTCAAATCATGTGCTAGTTTTTTTACCTCGTCGAAACACATTATGTAAAGGCTGATAATTATGCACATGCATATATCTCTCTTTAACTTTAAAGCTACTACAACTAACTTAGGCTTTGTGGACTTACGACTGCCTTTGACGTTGCAGACATGTATACAGATTCCATAAGAGAATGACTTTGCTCCACAAAAGTATAAATACATTTATTGTTATGGCTGAGAAGTGTACTCTTCAGTCCAAAGTTCTGTATAAGGTTGTTACAGTCAATTTCTGTGCAAACTGTAATTAGCTAAGCTGCAGTTTCTCCTGGAGATGGAATTGACACCTGTCTTCTCTTTTCCTGAGCAGTCTGGTTTCGATGGCAGAACTGAAAAAGATGTGATTCTTCAAGTAAGATTCTGCATTATTCTGAAGGTTAAAATGTGTCCTTCAAGGTGATTCAAAGCCTTTTCCTCATTTTAAACAGTAGATACTTTTGGGTCGATTCTATCCCATATGTTCATTATTTCCTTGAAGGTTGCACATCAAACAATTGTTCACTACGTTATCAACGAGTTTTGATAAAAAAAAAAGTATCATGTCAACAAGCAATGTTCCATTATGATATTTGAGATAAACAATAAGAGTGAGAGCGAAAGAGGAATCACAGCAAAAAAAGCTAGCGTTCACCGAACGGAAAACGAAGATTGAATTCACGGAAAACGCGGCTTTTTGTAAACTTTTACCCATGTTTTGCGTACGGAAAATCCAACGTTTTCCGTGCGTTTTCGCATCGGTGAATCCCAGTATTCGTTCCATTATAAGGTAGTTTTCCTTCGCGGTAAATGCAAGTAAACAAATCATCTTCCGACGTCAACCACTCGGCTAACTCACTGCAAACAGCTTGTTTTCCTTTTGTTCATTGGCATTTTCCCCGTATGCAACAACGTATTCACCGGAGTTAGCGGCTGGAAACACGCATTTTCCTGGAAGATTGATGTGTGTAAATGCAGGAAAAAGCAGTGATTTCCTGTGTTTGCCGTTCGTACAACGCATAGAAAATGTCATGTTTTCTTCTGTTCGGAACCATTTTTCGCACGGTTAACGAAATGTTCACAAGAGTTTTCCGGTCGAAAGCATGCATTTTCCAACATTTCTTCCCATTGGTGAATTCGAGCAAATTCGATGAAACGCATTTTCCGATTGCCCTACTTGTAAGATTCAAAATATCGATAGTTTGAATGCATTTGTGTTATGTGAACTTACCTTTTTAAAGACAAATGCTTTAATTATGATAAGCAACGAAAGAAAAGCCAGCGCTTTGAGCACTATCGACCAAATAGACAGAGAGTCACTTTTCTCTTCGTACGTATCGTCTCCACCCACTTGAAACTCATTTGTTTTCAGGTTTGTGTGTGCCTGCGATCTTGGTGCAGAGGATAACTGTTGGTTACCTGCGGTGGACTGTGTTCCCGATACTGAACCATCTGTGGAGGACTGCGCACCAGATTGCGAAGCCCCTGTCGAAGACTGTGCTAACGATGATGAAGCACCTGTGGTAGACCATTTGTTACCGTTGGAGGACTGTGTCGTTGATGTCGAAGCCCCTGATGTGGATTGTGCTTGACCTAAGGTGAACTGTGTTTCCGATACTGATGATGTCGGCCAAGCTGCTATTAGCCTGGACTGACAGGGGTCCTGAAGTTCAGAAGGCGTCATCATTTCTCAGATTTTTTAAAATTTTCTTAATATCGGTATCCATGTTCTCCCTTCTCTTCTTTATACATTTCCTAAGCTGCTTACAAGAAACATTTTTTAACAATCAAGAGGTCCTTTAGTTCATGATCATTTCCATTATTATCATGACCTTCATGTGTGATTCAGTGATATTGTGAGGAGAAATTAGATGCATGGCACTCTAAAGGTCAAAGGGTATATTGTAATTTAACTGTCATTCAGAGTC